GCCCCAATAAGCCCCAAATAAGGCCTTATTAGGGGCTTGATAAGAGCTTACACTACCCGGCAGATAGATGGCACATTTCCGACGTATATGTTTTAGGTAGATGGCACGAAAGCAACAAATAACAGTCCATCGTTCTGTTGGCACAATTCTTCAATTATCCGGCAAATTGTGCCATCTATCAGCTCAAAAAAAAACGGGGGGGGGGGTCAAAAAACATGTGCAAACATGTCCGCAGATCGGAGTGAAGTGGGGTGGGAGTGGAGTGGAGTGGCGTGGCGTGGCGTGGCGTGGCGTGGAGTGGAGTGGAGTGGAGTGGAGTGGAGTGGAGTGGAGTGGAGTGGAGTGGAGTGGCGTGGCGTGGCGTGGCGTGGCGTGGCGTGGCGTGGAGTGGAGTGGAGTGGAGTGGAGTGGAGTGGAGTAGTTGGGCTCCCTCCCCCTCCCCTCCCTCCCCCCCAGCCCCCATGCTCATATTAATAAACATTAACATCAACCCGGGGTCAACATTCGCCTCCCAACCCGCCGCAAAACCGATTCCGCGCCTCGGGCGTCTTGGTGTAAGAGCCCGCGGGCCGCTTGAACATCTGCACCTGGACCCTGACGCCCAGGACAGGCACCTGCCGCAATCTCTGTCACATGGGTGTCCTTTTAGGGGAAATACATGCCCCTGGCAGATGATTAAACCGCTGGGTAAACCAGGGCCATCTATTTTTCAGGCAAAACAACCAAAAAGGACACCTATGCACTTTCAGCTCCCCTCCAGTTGGCTTGCATTGGCGGTTGGGAGATTAAAGCTCTTGGTACCTGGTGAAACCAAACGGAGTTTTTGGCACTCCCTGAGATCCAAACCCCCAAACGAGAGGCACCAACTAGAATTCGCGTTGGTGTCTCTTGCTTTTTGCCGGTCGAAAAAGAAAGCCGAGAGCCTTATCTCCCGCCGAAAAATACTGTGGATGGACAAATCCTGCACCACCTAAGAAGCCCTGGAATGGTTTGATTCCCTGCAAATACCAACAAACAGTGGCTTTCAACTGGTTGCAAAGTGGTGCGAACGGATTTCGTCCACCGAAAAATATCACCCCACTGGAAACTCGCTGACCAGGTGATGTTTGAGAGACCACCGAAGGGAGAGACATGCGAAGAAAACCTCATCGGAGTCCGCATCGGATTCCATGCCGGACCTCCCAAAAACGACAATGCCCACGGGGATATTCAACCTAACTAGGTTCTTGAGTAGAGAGGATAGAACAAGGGTACCAACTTGTTTTTTCTGTTGGTCGATTTTACTAGGGGAACCCTCCCCCAAAAAGAGGGTAGAAGGTCACTACTGGGGGACCTAGCTGAGGTGTCGCAGCACGGTTTGAAGTCAACCTGCCCCCCTTTGGGTTGTTCATCCCATAGGAACAGAGCACCTTAGATCCTGAAAGCCAAGTGACCAGCTTTATGTCAGACTCGAAGCCGGAAGCCACCACCCCCCATGGGGGAGGTTCCGCCGTAGACCTTGCAAAGTAATAGCTTTTAGGAGGTACTAAAAAGGGCAGGGTACTTGGTAAGGTGGGTAATAACCATGGTTATGACCCACAAAAGTCATGGTTAGAAGTCTCCGTTCAGTGAATTATAACTAGGCTTACCTAACCACTTACTAGGTGCAAGGTTCTCCCCTGAAAGTCGGAACCAGATTTCTCTGGAATGCCCTACGCCGGCCTTCATGTCCTTCATCTGCGAAGCTACGGGGTAGCCCTTGTTGGGGCAGTTCCCCATCCGGAGGCCTCGTGCGGATTGAGGAAAGAACCGGAACGTGGTAGTGGCAAGGGTTCAGCCGTGTTACAAAGGGGTCACAGGCTTCAAAAGAGGTGCAGAAGGGGCTTGCAGGGGACCTACGAGGGGGCTAAGCGGTAAAAGGGTGTACCACGAGGTCGCAAAGCGGGTTACAAAGTGGTTGCAAGGCTTGCAAGGGGTTAACAAGGGGGGTGCGGGGTTACGATCTACAACGGGCTTGCCAGGATCCCCTTTACAAGGATTTGCCAGAGTTGTGCACCAGAATTTACCGGGATCTGCAAGGATTAGCCACGGTTCACAATGTGAAACTCAGCCAAGCCTTATCCAAAACGGACTCCAGTGGGACAAAAGGCCGACACTGGAGCTCCGATTGTTCATCAATGAGCCAGCTCTTATGAGGGCTTTAAGAGCATCTATTGCCAGTAGAATCTATTTCCAGTATCCCTCATATCTCTCTTGTTTGAAGGCTCCCCTATGGCTGATGAGTCCTATTTTCAGCCAGCACAAGGCCACATCTCTTATATCCCTCCAAGGACATCCCCATGGTAATCCTAGCGGTGTGATGTTCTTGGACAATCCCACTATGGTTCCCTGCTGTGGATGGACAAAACCCTGCACCACTTTGAAACCATGGGAAACCTTATTCGTTGGTATTTACAGGGGAATCGAATCATTCCGTTGGGTTTCTGAACGGTAGGGCGAAATGGATTTCGGCCATCCACAGTACCTTTCAAGGTGACTCAAACAAATTGAGACATCCTTCAACTTGTGTTCCATCACATCAACTCCTTTTGCGCGCGTTTGGATCACACGGATCCACGTGGCGCGGCTTCCAAATCACCACCCCTCACGCGCCCCCCGCCGCGCCCAGCCGCGCGCCTGCCAGGCGCTGGGCGTAGGGCCGCCAGGTCTCCGGCAGAAGCGCCTGGCCGCAGTCCGGGCCCTTGGCCTTGTACATCATCACCTGGGCGGATGGAAAAAAAAACACTAGGACGGACGCACGGGGCCCACCGAAAATGGGCGGAGAGATGGGGGGGCCGGGGAAAATCAAACAAGGGTACCGAGCCTCAAAACAGACTGAGTGGCCCGGGGCTCGGGCGGGTCCGAAAAATGGAAATCTGCAAGACAGCCAAATATCCACCAGGGGGTTCCTGCAAAATATGTCTTGATTTTTTAGAATTCTTGAAGCCCTAAAGAAGGTGATGTTGGTTGGTGGCAACACAAGTCCGTTTAAGCTGTTGGCCACAGTCGAAATGACAAATGTTCCTGGTGGAGATACTCTTTGCTCGCCGCGGCCACGGAAAGTGTGGGCAACCCCATTTGTGGGACCAAACAGGTCACATCCATCCGCAACACATGGAGAATTGCAGTGCAGCTGGTGTCCAGTGGTTGGTGGTTGGGTCCCTGTGGTTGGTCCTGTGGTTGGTGATCTTGGAAACTTTGAGCTACGTTGAAATATGTGCTTGTTCTTTTTGAGCCACATGGGGAAATCAAGGTGTTTCTGGGCAACAGGATTGGTTGCTTGTGTCGGAACTCGGAAGTTTGCGTAATACTACATGAAGCCAATGAGACCAGCAAGGCGAGGTTGCAAGCATGTGCAGATGGTTTCGTGTGCCAATCACGACATCTTATTCCGACGCTGCACTCCAAGACATCCATTTGGCCCATTCACCAAACATATGATGTTCAGATGGTTCATACGGCTGTGTCTGTTGTTCGTGGCCCTCCCCAGATGCTTTCCTTGCTATGTTCCTCTTAAAACCAGCCAAAAGGAGTTTGTTCTTATTTATCTATTATTTAAAAAGAAAAAAACTGACCCATACTTCGTCAATCTTAAAATGAAACATATGTTGTACGTGTGATGGCAAAGCCATTTGGCTGTGGGTCAAAACCGATGGCATCCCATTTTGGGTAGGTGCACCACCCATTTTAGAACCTATTTTAGCGGGGATTCATCTGATGTTCACTGGGGGCACGATTGGGATTTTGACCCACAGCCATTGATTTTCTTTTGGGGCGCTTGGGGTCACACCAAAGACGGCCATTCAGATTTGTTTTTCTCCTGTGGCTTTCATTTGCTTAACCCCCCTGGAAAAAATTGAAATAGTTCCAGTAGTCATAAATTCCCTTTAAAACCAACAAGAATGGAAGCGTGCGCTCCGAGTCGCCATGCGGCTTTCAGCGCAGGCCAGCAAAAACCAGAGGCACCGCATGGCGCAAGCGAGGGCCGAAAAGCCGCGAGTCGAGTGTCAAATAGCCCGTGCTGGGTGTCAGGATCCCGTTCAAATAATCAGATTTTGATGTTGTTGCTGAAACAGTACTTTTGGAATGCAACGCATTCATGGTTGATACCATTCTCACCTTCGAGAAACGATTGGGCATCACAAAAATTGATAGAATTCACCAACTGAAAGGGAACTCCGTAGCTGACATCGCTTTTTTGCTCCCTTCTGTGCTCGCCACAATTGGTGCGAATACGTACCGGCCGCTCTGAAATGGCTAGGCAAGGGGAAACTGCGTGTCTCGCGAGTGTGATGTACTTGAGCCACAGGCCAAAGCGAAGCAAGGTCGTCTCGCCTGTGCTCAGGCTGCTGGTGAAGCCAATTTTCTCAAGAGCAAACCACAAAGGAATGGGTATGTACCATGCAAGGGAAAAAAGAAAAAGAAAGGGTTGTCCCTTGCTAACCTTCTCTTACCGGGTTTTGAGCACGTGGCTCATATCCCAGGGAATCTTGGCTCTATCCATTGGGGGCAAATGGAAGGATACATCAGTCCTTGATCTTGTCCAGGTCCTCCAGTAGAGAGGTTAGAATAAGGGTACCAACTTTTTTCTGTAGTCTATTTTAGTAGGGGCCTCCCAACCAAAAAAAGGGGTGAGAAAGGGCACTACTGGGGGACCTAGCTGTGCATGTGGGGATCTATTTCGCCCCAAGCTTGGTCCCCTTGAAGGGTCCCTGCAAAGAGGTGGATTGGCTTGAGATAGGCACGGGGAAAAAGCTTAATTTTGCAACCAGAGTGCGACTCCTGGAACATTGCTAGTAAGCATGAAACTGAGAAGTCAAACGCATTCTGCTGAAGTCTGCTGGACATGGAGTCAGCCTCCAAAAAGCGACAAAAACAAAGCCGAGCTTGCAAACTTTGATCCCCCAAAACTATGTCAGAAACTCGACATGCAGCCGAGCAGATAAAGCCCAATCTCCTTCACATCATCTTGGGCTCCGGGCTCCGGAAAGGTATCTGACCTCGGGATTCGCTCAGCTTCCATGCTTTTCAGGGACCCGCATGGCTGACACACCAAACACCCAGCGTGTTTGGGTGTTGAAGAAGGATGTTTGGCCATGGGGAATTGTCCCCGAACCAAGGGGCAAACATTTGGGGGAGGGGAATGAAAGGAAACCACCCCACATCTCTAGACTTGGGGGTTGGTCGACTTGAGGTGACCACATCTACCAAGATAACCTGCTTCCTGGTACATAGGGGAGAGTGCAATGGTGTGGGCCAAGAGGACCCTGTCAATCAACTATGGCCCGGGTTCGCAAGTGGCCCGGGTTACCAGTTGACAAGAGGCCTGTGGACGCGTTTCAAGATGGTCTCAGACCACTGGGCGACTCCAGCGCCCCAAACTTCGATCTGAGGCCCGACGGGTCAATCCTTCGATCAGAGGCCCCGGCGTCTCGCTGTCCCCGTCTTGATGTCTCCTGGCGATCACCGCGGGGCCGACCGATCGCCAAGGCAGGGGAAATTGCGGTGGAGAAAAGAGCTGCACATGGGTGTGTGTGTGTGTGTGATTTGTTACCCGAAAAGAGGTCTTGTTTGTGTTTTTCCAAAAGGAGAGCCTAGCATGTCAAGGAAAGGACGCACCTAACATGAAAAACAGGATTTCCCGAAAAATGTGAAGAAAGAGGGCATTTGGAGCAGGCACCAATTTTGGCGGGGGTCCCCGATTTTGATGTAACGCACCCGCCACCTTGACAGCCGCAACCCAAAAAACGGCACCCTAAAAAATGACGCATCCATTTAGTTTGCCCAGTGATTCCGTTTACCTATGATAGTAGTAGAAACCAAAAGCAAAATGCCTGGTTGCCTAGAATCTACTGGGTTGCCCTAAAATATAAAAAATCGCCTTCAAGGAGACCACAGCATCTCACCCTGGCGCCGGAATCACGCCTACTGGCTGCCAGCAGTGAGCCCACAGACCTTCGAACGAGCGCGGTTCGGGAGCGGGGTGATCTTCGTGAGTAGAGGAATGACTACACTCAGGCTCCCCTTACCCAGTGACTCCAAGAAAACGTGTCTTGCAACTTGCGCCTTGTGATGCGCTCAAATTCGAGCGTGCCCCGGCGGCATTCCCGTTCTCATCCTTGGGACTGGGAACCCAGGATTACTCATCTGGTTGCATGATAGGGCGCGTCCCATTTTGGGGGCTCCTTCACTCTTAGGCCCCTTCAAAAAAGAAGAAAGAAAAGACCCACCAGGTTGATTCGATGTTCCAGGTGGTCAGGCACACAGAATATGTGGGGTTCTGGCTTTCCAAACAGTACAACGCGCTTCGCCCAGAAAACATCACTTCAATTGCAGCGGGCCGGGGGGGGGGGGGCCAAAAGAATCCTTTCAATGCAACCTTCTTCCGTCCCCCGCGATACATCCCTCGGGCCACTTCAGCCCCCACTCCGCCAATATGTTTCCGACTTGGATCAAGAGTTGCCGTAGGCTTCCCAGGCCAGGCCTCGCGTCGACAAAGAAAACGAGGCTCGAGCCTCGTAATGTGCCTTTCAATTGTTTTTAATCCAGGCCACGTCGAAAAAACAAGCAAGGAAAAACAATGTTCCGCAGGTTTCCTATTTTTTTAAGAGCAGTCCAGGGTGCGGGTGTCCGATTTGTTCCACAAGGACGCCCAGCCACGTTGTTGCGTGCTAGCGATTTCTCCTTTTGAAGGTGCCCAAAGTCTTTTGGGGTTGAAAAAAAACAATCAACAGAAAACTCCCACTTTGGAGGAGTTCCCTTAAAAGGGGTCTGTCAGGAACCTGAACCTCCTGAACCTCCGAGTTCAGGTTTCTGACGGCCCCGGCCAGTTGCTTTTCCGGCTCTTCTTGGACATGGACCGGTCCTCTCCGAACATTTCCGCAGATGGCACGTGGCATCTCCAAGTGAAGCCCCACTCGCGGTTCCAGGCCGGGGAAACTGGGGGTGAGACCAAGACTTCGGCCAGCCAACAAGACACCGGAGCCAGTTTGTTTCCACCGCGCTGAATGCTCGATTCAGGGTTTTTGCATGGAAACCGTTGGCCACGAACCGCTGGTTTCACCCCATCGTTGGTGCAAACAAGTAGTCTCCCCAAAACAGGGGCAATTCCTCTTGCCATGTTCCTTATTAAGCCCCACCTCTGGCACAATATGCCAGAGGTGGGGCTCCCTCAAATCCTCTTGGATTTGGCCAACTGGGTTTGGGATATCGTCTTTTCTTGGGAGGTGAAACCATTTTCTAACTTAGACATTTCTCACCCTGCCCCGTGGTTTGGGGATGCTTGGGGTTGGGTTTGCAGTTATGGTGTCAAGTTGTTCAATCTGCAGAACTACTCAGTCTCTCAAGCCCAAGTTGAGCCCGGACTCTTGAACCGAGTCACATGCGTTGCCACATCCGGGCTGCTCCAAAGAGGTCTTTCGTTCGGAAAGAAACCAAAGGAACAACCGAGTTTCTATTCTCGGGGCTTGATCATCCTCTGGCAACCCGAGCAACCGGATGAGGCCACCGTTGGGCGAGTCAGGGTCTGGTCTTTGGGATCCGGGGTGGGATGGTTCCCCTTTTAGTAGGGAAATGATATCAATTTTAGGTAGGGGGTCCCTGACTAGGGGGGTCCGGATTAATCCGAAGCTAACATAAACTTGATTGCTTGAACTCGATCACGTGGTCTGACCCACAGTTAAGGATCAATAAGCCTCAATATTTGGAAAAGAAATGGCTCATGAAAGTGACAAATGACTCACTTGAAATGCCCCAAAAAAGAAGCGCCGCAGCCTTCCGAAACCTGCCGACACCTCCGGCTGGGTTTGGCCCTTCTTGGGGGCTACATCGGATTTCTCCATGTACGCATAGTCAAACTGCTGGGTTGTTCCGATTGAAGAGGGCTCTGGTTCACACCGTTGCCCCCAACATTCCTGAGCAGGGATCCGGATGCAGTATACACCTGAACATTGCAACTTGTCTTTTTCTGGTGGTGTCCCTTGATGTTGGTGCTGAAAAAGCAACATGTTTCACATGGTTGCAGAATGGAGATCTTAAGGAGCCCTGCTTAGGTTGGCCAACACGTAAACGATAGCAGTCAAAATGACTCGCTTCCTGAAGACCTGGCGGGGCGACCTCTGGCTGTCGCCAAGGAAATTTCAGTGGGCGCTTGGGCGCACTAGACTACCAGGTCCCCTACAAAAAGCCACACCCAGACCAGTGCTCATATTTGATTTCTATCACCCTCCCCACCGGCACGCGAGCGTGCCTCCTCTACCCCCTTCTTCTTGCTGAGTTTGTCTCCTCAGGCGTGTGTCAGAAGGTTGGCGACGAAACAATGCAAAAGGTCGGCCGAAAGCGACCTCCAGGTACTAATCCATAGATGAATACGCCGGGCTTTTGGGCACATGTCTTGCCGCAGCTTCATTGAGGGCATCTCCACTAGCCGTTCGCCACATCTCCCCTTTTGAGCCGGGAATCTAGATCAGCGCGGAACTTCTGGGTTTTAAGTTCAGGGTGGCTCCCTTTGTAGCTTTCCCCGACCAGAGCTGCTGCAAAGAAGCATTTGGTTGGCATCTGCACGGGGCTGGAGAATGGAAAACAATGATAGTACATTGCCCTGATTTGAAGGGTTGTAGAAAGGTCCTGGCATAATGCTTAGCTAGCTCCTGGACCACCCAAGCAGGGCCTACCCAACACTTTCCACGGACTGCAGCAAATTTCAGGTGGAACCCGTGTCTCCCGCAAAGATTCTTCCCACAACTCCCCCCAGTGTCTTAGTGATTCTATTACTCCAGGCATGAAAAGCTACATTGGTCCCCCAGATATCAAATGGCTTCCTGAAAAAGAAAAAAAGAGGCCCTGTGAGAGATCGCTCAAACCATGTGATAGCGGGGAGTCCTCCCTAAAAGCTCACAGGCAAATTCTTAGCTTCCAATTCCAAGCGTCAGGATACTACATAATGCTCTCCATGAAACTTCATGGCCGTAGGAATTCAATGAAGGTTGAGACCGGCCCCAAAAAACAATACAACCAAACAAGAGGTCCTGAAAAAAGGTCGAATTTGCTTGCTCCTCCAAGACATGGGAGAGAGACCGACGGGAGTCGCTTCTACTAGCAAGAACCGCTCCAGACCAAACCAACGCACGCCCGCCCCCCCCTCCCCCCACTCACCCATAGGTGTCCTTTTAGGGCAAATAGATGGCCCAGGTAGCTGATGAAACCACCAGGTACAGCAGGAATGGCCATCTATTGTTCCGCCAAAACAACCAACAAACCCCGCGCCCCCCCGGCCCCCACCCACCCCTGTTTGCCGAGGCTCCGCCTTTAGGGCTCTGCATACTCAGACGCCGCCCGAAACGCGCTTTCCGCATGATCTCGGCAAGCGGTTCGCGGTTTTGGCCGCCTTGTTGTAGCTGTTTTTTCCCCCACGGGCGATGCAACTCTAGTCGTTTCAAAGAAATGCCCCAAGGGCTGGCGACTGAAAGTGAGTGCTTGGTAATCCTAGTTGTAACCCACTGAACGGGGACTTACAATCAAAGCTTTGGTGGGATATAGCCGTGGTTGCTAGCTTGCCCTTTCAGAAAAGGTGTTCCGTGGAATTCCCATTTCAAGCCATTGTAGGTCAGGGCAGCAGCTCATAAAGTCTAGAAGCAAAGGAACCTGGATATCTAGTCTCTAACATGACTTCCACTACGAACCACTACCCCAAGCGTTTTTAACGGGATATACAGACACCGCCCGTCCACTTAAAGGGTATTTGCAGCCGGGGGGGTTGGGTGTGGAAGCCGTCTACGCGAGTGACATCTTGAAACACTTCGCAGCCGCAAGCAAGCTCCTGTTCGGCCCTTGCAATTCAAGCATGCTTCAATGCAAGGAAACATGAAACCCAGAACTGGGCCAATCCAAAAAGGGGGAGATGACTCTATGGGTTGGTGAATTCCATGTCAGGGAGTGCTCCGAATTCTTGGGCGTAGATTTACATGGCTCCTGAAACGGCAAGTCAACAAAACCCCAATGAAACAACACCAAGTTTGGAGCAATCCTTCCAAGGCAGCGAGTCCTCCTCCCGACCTCTTCCACGTTTCCCCGCCGCAAGCCGCCTTGCGCCACTCATTCTCTTTGGATCGACCCAGGATCCGTCTGGTTTAGGGTTGGCTTGGGTTTCGGCTGGGTTTTCAGGCTGGAGAATCCAGGCCGAGTTCAGGCGGTTTCTCTCGGGCTCGCACAAACCCCCCTAGCGCCTCATCCGCCTGATCCGCCTCCGGGCGTCCGGGCCATCGCCAGAGAGCCCTTCTCGTCCCAGGGCCGGGCGTTCTCCAGCTTGAAGGGCCGCGCCTCGGCCGCTTTCGCTTTTCGGGGGGGGGGGGGGGGGGGGGGAGATTTGGTCGGCCAGCCGCTTCTTTTGGAGGCTGGGGGGGGGGGGAGGAGATCTGGGAGATTTGGGGCTGCTTCTTTTGGGGGGGAGAGTGCAGAGGTCTGGGTGTGGCTTTGGTTTGGATGGAGATCGAGGTCCATTGAACATGCCCACCTGTGGTCCCAAAACAAGAAAGGAGGGACCCCCAGGATGCCTCTCTCTCTCTCTCTCTCTCTCTCTCTCTCTCTCTCTCTCTCTCTCTCTCTCTCTCTCTCTCTCTCTCTCTCTCTCTCTCTCTCTCTTCTCTCTCTTTAAGCCATCCGTGCTTCAAAACCGTGATCTAGTGTGCAGGAAATCCTCAAAAACATTTTCACCCCGCTGGTTCCATCTGGGCCTTTTTTGTTTACCTTACTTGACCCCAACAGGGCGTGTGAACACCCCACTCTTGTTCGCTTAGGCAATTACTAAACAGAGGGACTGACCACTTACCAACTGGGGCGACCCTTCAGCAGGGTCACAGGGGCTTAGAAGGGCTTTCAGGAAATCAAAAGGACCCCCCCCACACACACACACAAAAAACAAGAAAAAGAAAAGAAACTGTGACACACGGGTGACACATGGGCGTGTCTGTTGTTGTTTTTTGCGGGAACCCTTCTTGGGCTGTGTTAAAAAGGGAAGCCAAAGAAAAACCCACCGGTTTCCCCGAGTCGAACCCAGAGACCACGTACGGCTTATGGCTTTGGCGCCCGCACAGAGATGGGCCGAGTCTCAAGGATGAACTGCGCCGTCTCGTCGGCGTCTGCACGCGAGATGAATGCGCTTGCCGAAAAACAAGGAGTAATGGGGGCGGGAAGGGGTTTACATCATAGGCTACAGGGGAAAATTAAATAATAGGTAAATAATCGGTTACAGGGTCAGGAAGGGATTAAGAGGGGTGAATAGGAGGGTTACAATTGTTGATAAGTCTGATTCCTATGGTGTCCACCCTGTTTATGCTGCCATGAAAAATTGGCGGGATACAACCGTGGTTGCTGGCTGCTTACTAAGGGCCATGCAAATATGAACATGCAGGGAAACAGGGGCGATTCCGCCACCTCAGTCATACACTCTGTCGATAGGTTTTGGGCAAGGTTCGGTTCTATTTGGGTACAAATAGGGTTGCCCTCATCTTCAGCATCACCAGCATCCTGAGCATCCCCTGTTTCGACACCTCTGCACATCCCCAGCATTCCCAGCATTCCCCGCATCCTTCCCCGCATCCTTCCCCGCATCCTTCCCCGCATCCTTCTGCCATGGTTCAGGCTTTGGAATTGAGAAGCATGTCCATAATGCGAGAAGGATTCAGCGATGTTACATAAGATCTGTTTTTGTGGCCCTGTTCAGGAAGGCAATGGGATTCTCTATTTTGAGCTCGCATGTGGAAAAGATGGCCAAACCTCATCCACAAGGTATCCAAAGCACAAGGATTTGAACCCCTTTGCCGGTCTTCTCATAACCCCACTCACCTATGCACTTCGCGCTGCGTTGCAAACTGCTCCCAGAATCCCACCGCTATCCACCGCTCCTTGTGTGGGCATCCTGGTTGTTATAGAACACCATGAACAAAAGCCCAAACATGAGCAAGCACGCCATGGCCAACCTCCCAGCCCCCAACAAAAGCATATGCCATAACCAACCAACCAACCAAAAATGCCCGCCCACCCAGACCAGCAAACAAAACTAAAAGAGACATTCCAACAGCGAAGTCCCCTTCCTTCCCACCCTTCCGCCGGAAACCATTTCTTTCTTGAATGCAACGAGCGCCCGAACACCCGAAGGCCCGCAGGCAGCCCGGCCTTTTGAATCCTTGCTGTCATCAAAGAGGAGCACCGGCCTCATCCGACGGTTCCCAGTTTTGCTTATAGTGACACCAAGGGAACCACCCGTTGAGCACAAGGAACATAGCGAAGGGTTACCTCTACTCCCTTGCCTGCAATACGCAAGGTGTAGTAACCATACAGTTTGCATTTTGTTTCGAGGGCGAGTGGGTCGCACCATAGCCAGACCCTCCTTGCTCCTATGGCTGAAATCGGGCTACATACCTCCAAAAAGGCTGGCTGATCAACCCAGTAGATTCATAGGGGCACCCCGCCCTTAATCAGATAGCGTTTATCGATCTGTTCGCATTTAATCAGAGAGCAAAATCACAAACCCTGATGTGGCAGGTGGTTGGAGTCAGGTTGGTGAGTGCTTCCAGTTGCCACTATAGTAGGTAGGTAACAAGGTGAGTTTACCTCTTGGTTTTGCATGATAGTCCCCCTGGGTACCTAATAGTGGCAGCTGGAAGCACTGGGAATTACACTGGGAATTACAAAGGCAATTCCCTTCGTGATGAGTCTTCAGTGAGATCGACGCCCTTCGCAAAAACATTGGCGGGGTCGCTACATGTTTGTGACCTCAGCCGGGCTGTTTGCCCACTTCACCTTGGCACGGCGAGTTGCCAACTCACCAGAAACCAGTTGTAGAGCAACACCGGAAACCCAGTTGCTGTTGGTTCACGGCTCAGGTGTACATTTGGATAGGTCTTTTTTGGAGTTGGTCCCCTTTTGTTTCGTTTTTTTTTCCTTCCGGGAAACCCTTTAGTGGAAAACCGTTACAGCATTTCGGAGGTGCCTTTAAAAAGGCCACCTGTAGTGAGGCCCTATCTTTTCCAGGGGTTGCTTCCAACCATCGTTCGTTCCAGCAACCGGATCCGTTTTCCCCGGGTTTCTGGAGGTTTTCTGGCAAGATTCGGATCCCTGGGTTCAGAGTTCAGAATGGACATGGCAGGTACCCCCAGAATTTGATTCGGTGTTTCTGTCCAGCCGCTTCACAAAAGGGCGTCTGATTGCGCTTCTGATTCGGGTTTCGAGGGGGTGGAGCCATGCTTACCCCTTAAAACTCCAAGCCCTGGGGAAGTTAATCTGTTACAGACATATAGCCCATGTTACCCCAAAAAAGTTGAAAAGTTGTGTTTTTAAGAGGTAAGCATGTGCTCAGTCCATTCAGCACCTGCCGTTCCGTCTCTGAGATGCGGACCCCCAGGTTCCAACCTGCAGAGTGCCCTTGTAGGTGGCCACATGCTCCCCACGCTCCTCGCCGCACATCGAATCGAATCGTTGCTTCGCGCGCAGTGGGGGAGGGGGCGTGGTCTCCGTCTTCCGTTTTTGTTGGGTTTAGGGTTTGGGGGTTAGGTTTTAGGGTTTAGGTTGTCTTTTGTGTTTTTTTTTTTTGGGGGGTGGTTTGGTGGGAGAGGAAACACGCCAAGGCCAATTGTTCGGGTGGACTTGCGGGGAAACACTTGGGGGTGTGTCTTTCTTGAGTTGGAACAGTGGCCTTTTCTGGTGGCTTTTAAGGAAAACATGGAAAACCAATAAATCCTTCCATGTTGGGACCCTTTGCCCCTTAAAAAATGACACACAAATGGCAACCCAATTTGCAAGACCAGTTGTTCTAAGAGTTACCACTTACCACCTCAAAGGTGGTTGGTGGACACAAATCTCCACCTAAATGATGTCCACCAAAGGGTCCGGGACCCATTCAATTCCACGCTCATATTTTTTTTGGTTTGGGGGGGGGGGGTAAAGCCTGAGTTACTCACTTAAATCCCATGCCATCTTACTCATGGAGCAGGACCCTCTTGCAGAACTTGTCTAAGGCATTTCCTGTCTGGGCTAATTTTTCGGCGATCGATTCGGTACTGGCAAGTCTCCATGACGAACAACCGAAGTGGCTCTCCCGAGCTTCAAGCATCTGTTGTTTTATTTTGTTTTTCACCCGCAAAGACGCCTCCCGTGCATGGGATGAAACACACTGAAAAAACAATCTCTCCCACATGAGGAAAGTGACTCATGGTCATTTTTGTTTGGACGAGAATATTGACCAACCCCCACATGTCCGGTCCAACGGTGCTAACCAAGTTCGGCGGAGCCCGAGCCGCTTGGCTTTCTTTGATGCCTCTTCAGTCTGGCCCCGGGCCCAGGATACTTAGGTGTCGAGTAACAGGGCGATCCCCAAGCATCCCCAAGGAAGGTGTTTGTCAATGTTTGGTGGGTTCTGAAAAAGAGCGAGGCTAGCTGTTTGAACCGGCTTGGGCCCTGTGTTCTGCCTTTGGCCCGCAAAAAAGCGGCACAAACCCAAACAGAAAGGCTCCAAACGGTGATTCGATTCGCACACGGATGGCGGCCGTCTGCGGGTCCAGGCATAGGTCTTTGGGGAAAAAAACACGTATCGCTGGGTTTGCGAAACGAATGGCATAAAACCCATCCAAACCGGTGGAACCCATCTATTTGGCCACGGGTCACAATCCAAAGCCCGTACCCCCAGTGAACATCCGATTCAATCCAACCACTAAAATAGGTTCTAAAATGGGGTGGTGCACCTACCCCAAAATGATGCCATTGTTGTTGACCCACAGCCATTTCCAAACCCAAACTGATCGAAGGACACCCATGGCCGACGCTGCGGCGAGCCGCACGCCTGGCGCCCCATCTCGGTCACCGTCATGACGTCGGCCGTGATGATCAACCTCGGCGCCCGCGAGGGCGTCTCGTCTTTCTGCTTGCTTTTTTCTCGGTTGCTTTCTGCTTTAGTGGCTTTATAGAAAACCCATTAGCTGGCAAAAAGTTAAAGTCCAACCATCCAAGCAAAATGCACCAAAGCTTTGGTTATGAAGGGAAACCAAAGGAAAACCGGCGCAGCATGTTTGGTACCCCTTGTTTGTTGGGCTGCAAAGGGACAACCAACAGCAAAAGCCGGTCGGCCCCAAAAAATTTGAGGGATCCGGTTCCTGGAAAGAGTTGAGGTGGGTCCAGGCCCAAAAGTGGAGATGGGAGATGGGCGTCTTGTCACCTTCCGGGGATCTCGGGACCGCAAGCCCCTGTGTCCATTGCTTGGTTCCATGTCCAAACTACTCCCCGAGCATGCCGAGCATAGCACCCAAAAGGGAGGTCCGATTTTTCAAGAGGAATTGCCTCTATGGTGGCGTGTTTGGTTCCATGTCCTGTGGAGCAACTAACCCTTCTACCCTTTGGCGCTTTTGGGCTTGATTGCCCAATGTTTGCGAAAAGGGGTTGACGTTTGCGCGACCTCTTGGCTGGAAAAAACGGTTAAAAGAAGAGGAAAGGACGGAAACCCAAACGGAAAGGGCAAACAGGTGACTTAAGTCTGGACCATGGCTGGGGCCAAAGATTCGGACAGGGGCAACCTAAAACCATCCACCCACTCTCCAACAAATTGCATGTGGGCGCCGGGTGTGCGTCTTCTTGTTGTTGAGAGTACCTGTTTTGTGTGGTGTTTAAAGAGAAACCAAAAGGATGGCCGAAATCATTTTTTGAGGAGTTCCCTTAAGTCCCCTAAAAGAGACGAGCCACCGACAACATGTTCAAAGCCCGAAATACGAGTTGGATGGTCAAGTGCCGACATCATGTGCGTGAGCTGGCAGAGCACACAGGTCAAAGCTGTTTTTTTCCCCATTGGGTCATCATGGTTTAAATGGAAAGAAAAAAACCAATTTGGGGAGGGTTCCCGAAATTTGAGACACACCCGTATGGCCTCTTGTCATGATTCCCGAAAAGGAATCACTATAACGATTAATTTCAGGATCCTTACTACCAGGTGGACGACCGTCCCAATCGCTTCCGCTAAGTCAAGGAACCGCTGTTTGGAGCCAGTGGCTCATGTAAGGCTATTGCAAGCGGATGGTCCTCCCCTCATTGCGGGCTCTGCGCACATGAAAGACTTGCTCACCCCCTTCGTGCCAATGCCATCCAAAAAACAACCCCTTCCTTCCTTGCGCGGTTTCCCCCTCCCCCCCCAAAAAAAAAGAAAGAAAGAAAGAAACCAAAAAAACAAACATGGAACGACAAGGGAACCAGGGAACCAAAAACCCGCGAAATCAAAAAAAAACACAAAAAAGGAACAAGGAACCAGGGAACCAGCGAAAGCAAAACAAAACACACAAAAAAGGAACCAAGGAACCAGCGAAAGAATAAAGAAACAAAAAAAACGACCCCCCGCCCCGAAGACGGCGGAAAAACGCCTCCCCGTCTCCCCGTCCGCTTCCGGGGGCCCCGCTGGTCCCCCTTCCGCCTCCGCTTCCGCTCGTCGCCCAGCACGAAGAGCGCCTCGCGGACATCTGAAGGTGCGGTCCGATGCTTCGAAGAGCGGGGAAGGGGCAGCTCATCCTTTTTTTTTTAACATGTTGACCCCGGATTTCGTAAACCACTGTTTATTAATATGGAGGTGCTTCTCCCTGGTTTTAGTGGGAATCATCCCTTTTGGAGGGGAACACCCCCATATTCATAAACAGGGGTTTGTGAATCCGGGGTCAACATTGAGGAGCCCCCCCTTTTGGCTATCTTGGTTGGCTTCTGCTTTTGCTTTTGTGCGTCATTGTTTTAAGCAGAAACCCGCTGTTGGTCAAGTTTGGAAGGGAAACCATGTTGTTTCTCTTCAAGGAAACAACAACGAAATGCATTTTGGGGGGTCTCTAACTTCGAGGCTAAACGGTAAACTGCGACCCACAAGTAGTTTACAGACCCAGGGTTAGTAACCCTACAGGGTGGATTGCAGGAGATGAACCCCAGTGTTCTCGCTAAACTACCTGCGTGGGTTGAACATCCACTTAGATCTGGGGTTAGCTAAATGGTTGCCAACCCTTGCATTTAAGGGAGTAGGCGGTGGTGGGTTTACCACAGGTTTCCAACCAGACGTACAACAAAGGCTTTGGGAGTTACGGAAAAAGAAAAAAAAAAAACGCGGAAAAAGAATGGAAAAACACGTCACTCAAAAGAAAGAGTCCGACGCCCTTGGGGTTTGCGACAGCCCTTTTTACATCTTCAGGGCCAATTTTGCTAATGCGACGTAGGGAAGGTTCAGAGAATGATGAAAAGTCGTGATGTGAGCAAAATGGTGGAGGTTCGGGTCGGCTCCTTCCCAGGTGGATGACCATATTCCTGTCCTCAAGTAAATGTCTCACTTTCAGAGTGGACTGGCCAAGACAAGGTCCTGGAACTTTCTATTTACCACCCAACTGGTCCATCCCCCAAAAAGTTCGAAGTTCATCCCGCCCAAAAAGTTCGAAGTTCATCCCCCCAAAAAGTTCGAAGTTCATCCCCCCAAAAAGTTCGAAGTTCATCCCGCCCAAAAAGTTCGAAGTTCATCCCCCCAAAAAGTTCGAAATTCATCCCGCCCAAAAAGTTCGAAGTTCATCCCCCCAAAACGTTCGAAGTTCATCCCGCCCAAAAAGTTCGAAGTTCATCCCCCCAAAAAGTTCGAAGTTCATCCCGCTCAAAAAGTTCGCCCCCAAAAAGTTCGAAGTGCAGGAATTCGGGGAGTGAGCAAAGAACCGGTCCTTTGAGCATCATGTGCCAATGCGAGGCAAAAGGGCCTGAAGGAAGCCCTCCTTATTCAGCACACGCCAGCGCCTCAGCGGCGAAAAGAAAAGAACGGCGGGTCTGCAAATCGAAATCCATGTTGGGGGGAGTCCGAGTCCTACAAAAAGACACCGCCATGTACCCTCTATATCATGAGAACTGGGGGGTACAATCCTGATTGACATGGAGCCTCAAAAAGCCAGTCAGATTTGAGGAAACTCCTTTGAAGAAACCTCTTCTTCGTGTTCTTTCCGTTCACTTGAGCGGATCGGCGTCTTAAGAAAGAGGCGATCAGAGACACCAAGGCGAACCATTTCGGTCAGATCCAAGCTGAGGGTTGCTCCGAAGACCGATCGGCAGATCTTGGGTCCGGAGAGAAATACGAAATTCGATCTCCCCAACCAGGTCTCGAGTGTGTTAAAAAGAAGAACAAAAACTGAGAAGGAACCAATATCCGTCCTTTTTTAAGGGTAAGGGAAAATAGCAGGGGGTCACTGGCTCGAGTCCACCCCAATCTAGCTACCAGTTGCTGGTGAAACGTCCCGTGGTACCATGGCAATACAACATGAAGAGACACAGACTGCCGGGTTTTGACTGTGAGGTCTCTTGGAGACGAACCGCCTGACCCAAAATCCCTTCCTTATGCCTCACCGCCAAACTGAGAAACCAAATGAGCACTAAAAAAAACAAAAGGGAGTCGAGGAAGGGGATGGACGAAGGGAATGGGCGGGGATTACCTAAAAACAAGAAAGGACGAAGAGATGAGAGTGAACGGTTACCTGGAGACGATTGGATGACAGTAGAATGACCATCAGTCTCTCCGTTCGTTTGAGACCCATGATTATTGCGTATCTGATAAAGGAATTTGGGGGCAGGAGGTTGGCCATCTTATGTTTGGGTCCAGCGAAACGGAAAATGAGTGTGTCATGTGTTTGTTTCAAGGGAAACCGCTGTTGGGTCATGTTTCTTGGCGGAAGCCAAAAGGAAGACCACACTCTCCGGCAATTTTTGAGGACACCTCTTTTGGTTGGGCAAAACCACAAGGAAAACCCACATGGCCCTTAAAGCCACAAGGAAAACCTACATGTGAGTCAAAATCAAAACCCGGTATTAAAATGGTCGACTCAGAACCATGTAAATAATAACGAAGGCAGATATCCGCAGCTATCTATGGCTGGGATTCTCCCTTACTAACCTTCACTTACCCGGGTTTTGAGTGTGACTCATGTTGGTTTGTTTTAAGGGTCAAAGATTCGGCAAGGGGCAACATAAACCATCCACCCACTCTCCAACAATTTGCCAAGGGGAACTCTGAAGCGGAATACCCCGCACCTTGGTTGCCCCAAGACGCCCCTTTTCGAGGGATCTCACTTACCCAAATTTTGATTGTCACTCATGTTGATTTGTTCTAAGGGGAAAAACCGAAGGAATACCTGCACACCGCAAGGAAAACCTACATGTTGGTTTGTTTTAAGGGGAACTCCGAAGCGGAATACCCCCCGTCTTGCAGGTCGCTTGCCCCAAGAGCCGCCCCCTTCTCGCGGGCGGGGGTGTCCTCCCTCCGTCCCTCCGTCCCGGGCCCGCGGCATGGTGCGCGCTTCGTCTTCGATGGCGGTCTGTGCCTTCCGCTGCTTGTTGGTGTTCTTGCCTCGAGCGAGCAAAAGCGAGGGAGAGAAAAAAGAAGCAGAAAAAAAAGGCGCAACGGCGCCAACGGGCGCCAAACATATCCCACCTGAAAAAGGGCCAACCTGGGAGGAGAAAAAAACAGATGTCAGTTGAGTTGCTTCGAGTTTAGCTGTGGATGGAAAAAAAGAGCCACTGCACGGTTTGTAGCGGCCTCATCTGTTTTAGTCATGTCTTGGAATCTTCGAGTTTTGAGCAAAGTGCACAGGACTCGCAAGGGCCCGACTTGGCCAACAACTCACCCAACAACCATCAAATGTCAAGTGACCTCCTTCCCCGTTGGTTGGACTCCGCGAGTTTGGTGCTTCCTTTTGCGGTACGGGAACTCGAAATCGTAGGAAACCAAACATCGGTTCCCACCACCAGGGCCCACTGGTTTGTTCAACGACCTCCGCGATTCTGGCACTTGGCTTCAGGATGGAGGCCCCCAGCTTTCGTGCTGGTTTCGCCCTCCCCCTCTGCAGAATTCATCCCAAATCCTCTGCAGGAGTTTGCCCAGCCCGTAAGGCCTTGGGTGGCCAATCCCATCAAAAGCCTCGCGTGCGGGCCGAGGCGCGTCTGCAGCAGCATTTGATCTTCCGCTTGTTCGCCTGTCGATAGGCCAGTATTGGGGTCAAACACATGCCGATGCTCCAGCGACGACGTTTAGACAGCGGACATGGCAAAAACAGTCTGTTGGGGTGGGGTGGGGTCCTGGTGATGACATGCTGTTTGCTCGTTTTCCTGCTGGTCGTGGCATGCAGTTGCAATTTCCTAAAATCGTGCATGTCAGCTTTCAACTTGCAACCTGAGTCCTTACAGGAGGGACGCGCCAATGTCCTTCGCCTTTTAATTCCAGCAGGGCCCAAATATAGAAGTGTCTCCCCTGTTGATGGTAAAATGCTCCTGGCTGGTTTAAAGGTAGACAAATGGGGGTAGACCGAACCTCCACTTGGTTGCTATAACGACCCCTGTTCAAGTTTTTGTGTGGGTCCCATGGAAAATCCAACCTGTCTCAACCACAAAGTTAAAGTCTAAAGATCCGTTGCCCAACAAGAACAAACAAGTTCATTGCCCTTGGTTTTTCCTCCCAGGTCCTTCTGACAGCTTGACAGGATGACCCACTTCAAAGAGAAACCAGAGGAAAAACTTCCCCAGTTGCCCGTTGTAGGGAAACCAAACAAAACGCGACCCTATGTTCTTCCCCCTTAAACATCACCCCATTTTGTTCTCAGGTCTATTTGAACTGGCTTCAAAGGGAGATATGGTTTGTGTCAAAATGGACTCGCAGCCCGATTCAATAAATCCCGGAAAACTCTCGGTCTCCCTTTGAGCCCTGACAAATTCAGCTCTCCTCCAATTGGTGGTCTGGTTTGGAAGAGGTGTCTTCCCATCCCTCAACAAGAACCAAATCAAATCCAAAAATCCAAACCGCCAATCCACACAACCTGAGGCGTACCAGAATCATGTTGGACCTTCTGTTGGCTTGCTCTTACAAGATCCATGCACCTGTATAGCCAATTCAGCCGCAACCACTTGAAATCCCGAGCCAAACCCGCCAAATGTCCGTGGGCCAAAAAGAAAAGTAACCCCCAAGTGGAGCCCCATGGAAACATAGATCATAGACACAATTGAGTCATAATCAAAACCCGTCTACCCAGAACCATGCTTCAAGAATTTAGAAGGCGGAGATCCGCAGCTATTTCTGGCAAGGGGATTGAACCCCATACCAACCTTCATCCACCCGGGTTTTGATTGTGGACCCAAGTTTCACCTGAGACTTCCCCACACGTCCCGCCGGACCGAAATGGGTATGGGTCAAAATTAGACCAGAAGACCGCTGGTCTTAGTCCACTTTTCCATTTACCAGGGCAACCTTTGGGTACTTACTTTCGACCCACACCATGATTCTTGGTCTCCATGGCTCGCCTTCTCCACGTAGACCTCCAGGTAGATGCCCCGCCAGTCGGAAGAGCGTGGCTTCCAGCCCCTCAGCCCCGGTCTCGGGTCTCGAACGCCGCCCGCCATGGACGGACGGAAGGGCGAAAAGGGGGGTGTGATTCTTCATGACGGTCCCGGACCCAGAGAAGTTTTCAGGTGGTTGAGTGGTTGCGTTTCCATACTTAACGGTTTCTGGGTGGCTTAGTGATTGGGTTTACATTTTTGAAATGGTGGACATCAAAATTCGGTGGGGATTCATGTCCACTAATACCACTGAGGTTCCCTATTAAAATTCATAGCCATATGGGCTTGTCTTTTTTTGGAGGGGACCTCTGCATCGCCTTGGAGCGGGCTAGTCCCCTGTATTTTTGGAGGTCTTTGTCAGGAGGGGACCCCTGTTTTTGGTGGCTTTTTAAAGAAAAGCCAAAAGGCAAACCGCAATTTTGGAGTGTCCAACCTAAAAAGAGAGACACCCATATGTGTACGGCTCGTCAAAATGGGCTCGTCGGCACCCCCAAAACGGAATCGGCTGTCCTAGAAGGTATCCTCCAAAACATGCTCAAAATGGTGGAGACTCTGCATTCAAAGGGAAACCAAAGGAAGACCAACCATTTGAAGGGGACCGATTCCTATTTTCAGTACTTTCTCTTCGTGGGGGGGGGGAGATTCCTATTTTAAGAAACACCCAAAAGCATAGATGTCCTTTTGGGAAAATAGATGGCCCTGGTAGATGATGAAACAACCAGGGCCATCTATTCTCCACCAAAACAACCAAAAAGGACACCTATGCCCATATACTGGCAAGTGGCTCGCCATTGCGAAAAAGAGGACCGGTAGCGGCTGGTGACCATTGCGGGCCGTTTGAAGGTCACAATCTTCCCACGGCTGGAAGGCTTGACGAATCGCTGTCTGTGTAAATGATGTCAAGGGTAGCGGAACTATTCCCTTGCCCTTCTGGTTTTCTTCAAAGCAAAAAAGAACAACAGGGATCGGACTTCCCAAAATAGTGGATCTTCCCTTTGGTTTTCCTGACCACAAAAAGGGGACCCTCAATTGTGCGAGCACACGTGTCTTCCGGGCTTCCCGGCAGAGCCTCCACCTCGGATGGGAATCTAGCTGGTCACAAAGGAATTGGACCCCCATGCTTGGTCTCCTTTTGTCTTCGCTTTCAGCTGCCGAAAGGGCCTTTGGAACAAAAGGTCATTTTTGGGTGTAAAGATGGGAACCCCAAAGGGGAAACCCAAAGGTCGTGTCAGGTCGCTTCGTTTTGGTGGGCTTTGGTGAGAATTTCTAACGAAATTAGCCACATGGAAGCCTACAGTCGGACCGGGAGCCGCAAAGGCCCAGTTCGTTGATCCCTTCGGAATTTCAAGGGACACCTCGTGTCCAGGATCCCCAAGTCCACCCACCCCGAGAAAATCGGACAGAGGTGTCTGATTCTTCGATGCCCTTTCTTGTGGAGTTTCAAAGGAAAACCAAAGGGAGAACCCACCATTTTGGGGGGTCCAAACAGAGACACACCCACCGGTGTGAATGAATGGGCTCGTTCCACCAAGTTCAACCGCGGCTTGGGGGTTTTGAAGGAAACCCACAAAGGCTCTTCGAAGAAGTGTTCTTCCTTGGCCACCAGTCCAGAACCTTCAGACTGATCGAACGGATTCTTGAGCAGCTGGTTGACAGCTGCTGTGGATGGACAAAATCCTGCACCACCTAAGAAGCCCTGGAATGATGATTCCCCTGTAAATACCAACCGACCATGGTTTCAACCATGGTGTCAAGTGGTGCAGGATCTTCCACTATCACGAACGCTTCTAGGCAAAAAGTTATATGAAAGGTCAGCCTTTGGTCTGGAAATGCTCCAGTTTCCTCGCGGAACCCCAACAGAAAAATCACCAGAGCGGACTTGTGGCCAACACTGGTGTTTGCTTAGTCTTACAGCACGTGAGCAACTTTAATTTTCAGCCCACAAAGAAATGCACGGAAGAAACCATGGCCAGGAGTTTTTGAAGTTACTATCACAATTTGTTTCGACCGGCGAGTAGAAGCTGCTAAAATGTCCAACAGGACTCCAGCATCCGCTGGACTCGCAACACCAATGTGCCACTTGGGCCGGGGATTGGTCAGCTGACCCGAAATGTTTTCTGGCCGAAGCCACCAAGCACCTGGTTTGGTGGGGGGCTTTCCAAGACAAAAGGAACCTGGGTATTGCCTCCGATGGTCCCCCTTGAATACCAACATGTGGCCAAGCGCCAATTAAAGAAGCACTGGGCTACTTGGCGGAGGTTGACTTTTCATGTGAGCAAAAGCATGTGCCTTTGCAGCCACCACTAAAAATGAGCAGAACTAAACAACTGAGAGAACCAAAAGGCAGAACAACAAAATGAACAGAAAACCAAAACACCGAAAGACTGCAAAAAATCGAAGCAAGAGCAGTGAGCTTGAAGATCCGTGCGTAGATTTGGGCGCGCCTGGGCCACTTCAAAGAGGAAGCCCATAGGCGAACCTCGCGGAGACGATTGGGGGCGCCCCCGAACCACGCAGAAAACAAAAACAAAAACAAGGCAAACCGACGTGGGTGGGGGGTTTGAGGCAGTGGGTGGTGGGGTTTTTGGGGGGTTGGGGGCGGAGGGGGGAAGGGGGTGTCTCTCAACTAGCTGCTGCGAGAGATGCAGGGAATGAGAGATGGAATGACCCGTACAAACCATCCCACTGATGGTTCCTTTAAGGGGATGGCAAGTTTTCTACAGACAAAACCACCTGCTTCAAAACTTCTTGGTGCGATAAGTAGGGAATGTCTTTGTTTGAACCCAGGCTTTGGTCCCCTTCAAAGAAACCCCTGCCTATCGCACCAGCTCAAGAAAAACCATCCTTAAAACCTGGCACTAAACTGATCAATCCCCCCAACAAAAAAACAGCACTCTGAGCGAATCCAAAGGCCGGAAGGGTCTCCGCACATCTGAAATCCGTCCCGGGATCTGTGGAAGTCGCTCAGATGGGATATGTTCCGGGCTTTGGTTGTGACGGTCATCCTCAAGACAAGTCCATACAAAGGTGACTCGAGTGGTGAGCCGAAAGCGCCCCGGGTAACCGGGTACCAGGCATGGCAAGAACAGCTTGAGAGAAAGCCCCTCCAACAATCTTGGAAGAGGTGGCTTCTCTTGCTGGTGCCATAGGCCAGGATTTGAGAAATGGCCCCTATAAGCCAGCCAACTTTGGTGTCCTTTTTCCGGACCAGAGCCTGGGTTCAAAACATTTCTCTTTCCCTGCCGACAGATCGGCAAAAGTTTCGACTTGGCCTATTCTAATTTGCTGTGGACGGCGATGTGTTGCAAAAGCTGCCAATTTTAGTGATAACCCTGCGGATCATCTGATATGTGCCAAAGGAAACTCCCAAGGATGTGTGGATCGCAGCTCTCCTTCCCCATGCCAATCCTTTAGCCTTTAGCTAGGTCCTCCAGTTGGAATAAGAGTACCAACTTTTTCTGTAGTCTCTTTTTGTCGAGAAACCCTCCCAACCAAAAAAGTTGCTGAGAAAGGGCACCCTTTCGCGGGGCGACCCAGTTGAGCTCAAGGGTCCCAATACGCCCGAGGCCAAGAAGTGCTACGCCTTTCCAGGTCTAAAAGTGGAGGCTCCCAGCTACGGCCTGGAAATTCCAGGCCTCGAGGCCTCGACCCACAGAAAGGCCCAGGGTCGCTACGTGGGTCGGCCAGTGGACGTGGGTCGGCCAGTCCAAAAGGCCCAAGGGCCCGGTGAAAGACCAGCCCCCTTGACTCAAAGTCAGCCTCATGGCGCAAAGGGAAAGCGAAACCCCAGTCCGGAAGGGTCCACCAGCTACCCCAAGACACCCCCCGAAAGGAACAAAAACAGAGAGTTCATTCAAGGACAAAAAATGCCTTTGACCCAAAACAGAAGTTGCCGCTCTTTTGCTTGCTCTTGTCTAAGGACCCAAAATGTGTTTGTTTCAGTTTGCCTTTGAGATCCAATCATGGCGTCGAATCAACCCCCGCCTTCAACTTCCGAGTGCTATGTCCATGGCAGCCGCGTCCGCGAACGCGCCCGAGGTCACGGCTTTTGCCGAGGGTTTCGACCCGTGTCGCGGGTTGGCCGGCCAAAAAATCGCTTGCCGGGCGGCTTGGGGTTGGCTCGGGCCTCTCTTCTCAGTTCGCAGGGGTGGACTCGGTTGCGTCCTGGGAAAAGCATCTTCGGGGAATCCGAAAAAAATCGCATGTATTGCTTCGGCTGCACACGTCGCTATGGCCGGGGAATGTTCTACCCCAGCTACAGCCAAGGAGGGTCGCGGTGCAGAATCGTGTGCAAACCAGGGGCTGAAAGAATTGCTACAATGCCCGAAAAACAGGGTTCCCCACTTGAAACATCACCCCACCAGGGGAAAACCTACTAAATGTGACCAGACGGTGATGTTCAATTCAGCCCAAAATGGAAATATGGGGAACCCCGAAAAGGACGTACACCAACCGGCAAAGCCTCAGTTGGCCTCACTTTCTGATGTACAAGCTCTTTGGCATCTTGAAAAGGGCTGAGGTTTCTAGAATCATCTCGCAAAGCAACAAGCCCTTTGACTGAGATGGAACCCAACCCCTGCCCTCCGCGACGGTAGCGATGAAAAATTGAAAACAAGAACAAGGGTGTTCAACAAGGTTGTCTTCTAAAAGGGATGTTCAAAACGACAAGGTCCCAACATGGGGCCAGCATGCTGTCCCTTGATCTTCCCATTTGAAGGAAATGGGTGTCAAAAGGTCCAAGCAAGTTCTTGTCAGGGTTCCCTGCGGTTTCCATTGCATCATCTCACCAAAAGGAAAGCAGTTGGGTGTCTGTTTCATATGGTGCCCCTGTTTTTGTGTTTGTAGCCGGAAACCACCCGTGGACCAGGAAAACCACCATGTTGACAGTCTGGGGGCTCGCTCAAAGGCAAGGACACCCTGCTTACAAGGGTGCAGACTGTGTCCAGCCCGGCGAAATGGGGCAAAGCATAGCCAACTCGCAAACTAACAGCCGGAAGCTCCCAGAAGGGCACTGGAACCAAGTCTTCCAAAGTCCTGGGAGCTTGCATGTTAGTCCGAGGGAGTGTAGCTCGCACAATGGAACCCCAAAAAAGTCCAAAGGAATCTGTCAAGTCGCTTGGCAGGTCGCCCGGTGCTCAGCTTTCTGCCCACTCAAGAGCCTCTAGTGATCCAAATATCCTGTCCACTTCTTTGGAACCGACACATGACGTTTCGGGGTTCGGACCATGCTCCATTTTGAGATGGGCCATTGGTGGATTTGGCAAAAGGCCACGACACGGCAGGGCGGCGGGGGGAGGCACGCGCGGCGCCGCCCAGCCTGCCACATTTGGCCGGCCCAACGGAACCCAACCAGGGAAACCTCGCGACTCATCTGGACGAAAAATCTGCACCACTTTGAAACCATGGCTAACCATTATTTGTTGGTATTTACAGGGGAATGATCTTACCAGGGTTTCTTAGGTGGTGCAAGATTTCGTCCATTCACAGTAGCTGGAACAGCTCGCAAAGATACAGAGCCAAAGAAACGATAAAGGGCCACAAAGAGAGATGATGCAAATGGAATGATAAATAGCCGAAATAGGGATACTGATTAGAAATGAGCATGAAAGCTAATCATAACACGACATTAAGGTTAGCAAGAAACGAAACATGAAGAAATCATATCAGACAATAAATGAACAAAACAGTAGATATCAGTAAAGAAATAAACCAGAATATTAGCTGGTGGCCTTTCCTTAGTTATACTCAATCTGGTCTACGTCCGCTGTTTAAATAGCTCATATAATTGTATTAGTGTCTTTCTTTTATTATTCATGACTCGCTTAGCCGACTCTTTTCCTCATTATCTTTGTTGATATACTTCTTAATACTTGCTATTCACTTCTTTCATCATCTATTCCTTTCATTATGTTCTAAGACATATGTTCTTATAAGTTTGAAGAACCCGGCATTGTCCAACCTTGGTTTGCAAACGACCCACCAATTGACCTTCTATTCCCTGTGGATGGACGAAATCTGCACCACTTTGAAACCATGGGTAACCATTATTTGTTGGTATTTACAGGGGAATAATCATACCAGGGTTTCTTAGGTGGTGCAGGATTTCGTCCATCCACAGTAGCTGTACTTCCTGCATGCCCAAGCATCCCCCAGAAAATGGTCCAAACAAATCGTCTGAACAAGGCTTCTTCTTGGTCAACGGCGAAACCCTGCGGAGGTCAAAAGATGCAAAAGCGGCCGCCTATGACGGCTGAGCTCGAACTTGTGGCCCTCCCGTTTTGAGGTGAAATCCTTCGCTCCATCGCCTGTTTTTGAACTCTGGGACTTGCCCTCGCCCCAATCCCAAAGCCCAGGTTGATCATAGCAGATGTGGACCACGAACCTCTGCGGCCGGTTGCCTTACAAATCAACAGAAGAAAAAAAAGAAGAAGAAAAAAGAAAAAAACATGTCCCTCCAGTTGCGATCAGCACCCAGAGGAAAAACCATCATGCAAAACCTGGTGTTAGGGACCCTTTACCCTTCCCCTGCTTCGGGTGGGAGCACAGGGGTTGGCAAAAGCCAAGTGGGCTACCAGTCGCGGAGAAAAGGACACCCCTTGTCGCTGATTTCGAGAGGCTTCCCGCTTGCAAACACGCGGAGAAAAAGAGAAAGTAAGCCACGGGGTTATATCCGAGGTTAAACATCCAAGTCATGGCAAGCCTATTCTTGGTTGTTTTCTGCTAAAAGTTTAACTTTTAGTGGTTTAATGAAAAACCCACCAAAGTATTGGATCCCCCCCCTTCCCCCCGGAACAAGCACGCCCTCGTCATTGCCTGCTTGCAGCGGTGCCGCAGGCCATCACCTGCCGAATTGGAATTCACATCCCGATTCCCCAGTGAGGTTCCCAATTTCACATTCACACATTCTAGGGGTTGATTCCCCATTCTTTTTTTCACCATCGTTCTTTTCAAGAACCAGCTGTTTCCCCCTGCGGTTCTGATGGTTTTCTGAAAAGAAGGATCCCTGAACAGAATGGGGAAGTGTGCACATGTCCTTTTCCCCAGAGCCGGCCTTTGGGTCGAACTGGAGTACTTCATGAGTCCAGCCTCCAGAAGCATTGCTCACTTCCTAGGTGGATTGGCCAGAAAAAGTCCAAACTGTTTGTTTACCACGAAAAAAATGGGCCAAACCCCACCCGAAGACGCCCCTCTTGGCCGAGGACTTTGTCTGGCCTTTCTTGACCCGAGGGGCCTCTGCGTTGGTCTCGGAATAGGGTTCGACAATGAGTGGCTTGCCTTTGGTGTCCCTCTACAAACTACCAAAAAATAAAGTGTAAATGAAGGAACGAGCAGTACGTCAGCAAAACACGCGGAGAAAAACGGCACATGCCAGCAGGGTAAAAACTGGGAGGATCACTAGGTCCATCGGGCAAACAACAGCGTTGAAGTCTGGAAACGAGGCGAAGAGAACTCCGCCCGGATCTCCAGAACGTCTCGTGGCGGAATCTGAACGGCCTCTACGAAGGAAAGCCAAAACTGGCTGTTAAGCAGTAGCAGTAGCAGTAGCAGTAGTAGTAGTAGTAGTAGCAGCAGTAGTCGTAGTAGTAGTAGTAACAGTAGTTGTAGTTGTTGTAGTCGTAGTCGTAGTCGTAGTCGTAGTCGTAGCCGTAGCCGTAGTAGTAGTAGTAGTAGTAGTAGTAGTAGTAGTAGTACTAGTAGTAGTAGTAGTAGTAGTAGTAGTAGTAGTAGTAGTAGTAGTAGTCACAACAAAAAAGAAAGATGATGATGATACCTGGCCTGTCCTCAGATCCCCTGCTAAAAGTTGATCCTTAGTGGGTTACATCCGGAAACCCAATCACTAAACCAACTAAAATGCCAAAATCCAAGGAACGGGACGGCTGAGAACCACCAAGATGCCAAAATAATAAGAACTCTTGGTGTCCATGGGAAACATTGAAATCCATGGTTGTCATTTAAAGCCCCCGACGAGCTCAGTTCCTGAATGGGCACCGAACCAAAAAAAAACATGTGGAGGTCACCGAACCCCCAAAAAACGACATGTCAGGAAGTAGACCCCCCCCAAAAAAACAAAACAAGACAAGCTCGGTAAGCAGGGGTGACCCCAAAACAAGCTCAAAAAATCAGAAGAAGGGCAGTAAGTAGGTGTGACCCCGCCAATACAGAAGTCCGCAGGTAGGTGTGGGCCCCCCGCCAAAACAACTAGAAGTACATAAGCCCACAAGCCAACGATAGCCAAATACACACAAACAAACAACCACAAAAAGGACAAATAAGCCAACAAATCAATGACAACCCCATAAGTTGATTTATTTCAATCAACCACTAACAGAAGCAAAGCAGACACAAATTTATGTATATATATATATATACATACATACGTCGCTGAAGGTTTCCCCCGCCCCATCCGCGGGATCCTCGAGCCGCGCCTCCGGAGATCCGCTCCAGCGCCTCGATCGAGGCCTTCGCCACGCGCCTCGGCGAGGCGGATCTGGGGCCAAGCTTTGCCGTGAGGGAAAGCCAAAGCCCAAGCAAGGCCCACCAACCAAGCCAAACCGCACAAATGCAAACCAAATACAAACCAAACAAAGTAAAAACCAAACCAAGTAAAAACCAAACCGAGTAAAAACCAAGTCAAAACCAAATAATCCACCAGGCACCTAGGCAAAAAAAGAAGCCGTTCAGCCAGGCAACCAACTGCTGACCGGTGAGGTGGTTTTGGAGGGAGTTGCTCCCTCCCAGAGGCTCTTAGGCCAGACCAATTGTTTTTGTTCAGCCCGACTTTTGAGGATGAAAAGCAGAAAATGCGTGTCCATGGGTTTTTTTGTGCGCGGGCTAGCCGCTTCGTTTAGACCCAGAAACGGCGCAAATCCTACAACTCCAAAACTTGAAACCTGAAATTTGAAATGAGGGGCAAAACCCGAGACAAGAAGGGATCCCCAAGCAAAAGACCCACATAGTGAGCTCGTTTTACCCCCATCGCTAAGTTTCACAGACAAAAGGCGATGTATCCCAACCTTACCCCTGGCACCAGATCCCAAAAAGTCCTGATCCCTAGATGCGGCTTGCGAGTCCTCCCTCTCCGCTCAGCTCAGCCAGGTGTGCGGAAAAAGAGGGAACTGCCTGTGATATGTGGGAAGTTTCTCAAAAGGTTGGCCCTTTTTTGGATCAAAGCGGAACCAGGAGTAGGCTAAGGAATGCACAGCCTCCGCTTGGAGACAAAGCTGGCTCATCCAACAAACGACTTGCAAATGAATGAAAGATGAACTGTTCAAACCGAAGAACGAACACCTAGAATTGCCACTTGTTGTCGCGGTGGTTGATGAATGGCTGCACCCCACAACCACCAAAGCTCACGGCAACTTTTACAAGACAGAATTTAGGGCCATTTTGCCGAATGAGGCCAAGCAAGGCCAACTGTGCGCAGTTTCAGCCAGTGACAGTTGGGTCTCTGAGATCAAAGTTGCTCTCGATCTTGGGCAGCAGCCAGTTCTTGTCCTCCCGCCGGGGTTGAAAACCGGGCCGAAAAAGTGCATATCAGCCCGAAACGTTGAGCTGCTGGCAGCTCAGCTGCTGCATGATGCCGGTGATGCTGACTAAAAAAGGTGGTGCACCTCTGGTACCGTTGGTTTTGACCCACAGCCATGTTGATGCCGATGATGGTGCTGATGCCAGTGATGCTGGTGATGCTAGTGATGATGGTGCTGGCGATGCTGGCAACGCTAGTGATGCGTGCTGCTTGTGATTCTGGCAATGTTGGTGTTGCTTGCATTGCTGGCGATGCTGGTGACACTGGTGATGCAAACGTTGGAGCCCCAACGTGCGCATGAACGCCGTGAATCTCTACCATGGACCACGATGAGAATTCCTACTTAGTTTCACCTAAGCGCAAACCCAAGGAGAGCATGTGGTTGGCAACCCGGGCTGCAATCCACCGAACGGGGACTCACAACCATAACCTCTGGTTCGTTGCCCAAAGCCACCCGCTTGCCAACTCAATCCTTCAAGTACCACACATACATGGGGTTTACTCCCATTTTCAGCGCATACCCCATTTCGGGGTTGCCCCACGCCAAAAGCAACAGCCAAAAAGGGACGGCTCCACAAACCCCGAAGCCCAAGCCAAAGCCTCCGCCCCTCCTGCAGCATGGGGGCGATCCTCTCCAGGTCCGACAGCTCCAAGCTCATGATCCCCGTGGCCTGGAACAACCCTCAACGAAGGGAAGGGCCTCCTCGTTTTTTTTTTCTCCGTTGGACGGAGCGAAAGAAACGAACCTTGCGTCGTCGTTTAGGGGACCCCGAAAAAAGGATGGAAGTGCCGTGCAAAAGGAGAACCCTCGGAAAAAGACGCACACCCATGTCACCAAAACCGAAGAAGCGATCGAAACAGGAGTAAGAGAGAAGTAGATTGATGGCAAGATCCGTAGAAACTGTCTTTGTGGTTTAGGGCGGGCTGGAAACGCTTAGCGGCGAGTAAGCATAGTTGCATCGGGTGAAAGCTTTGGAATTCCAACAATTCCAAGCCCATGCTGAGAAAACTCGCCATCTAGATCCTGTACCCACATATTCCCTGGTTGCTGTTGACCCCCCCTGAAAAAGAAAAAATGTGAGTCCACAGGAAGATCCACTGTAAGGAGCCGGCAAACCAAAATCGGAAAAAGGAAAAAACAAACAAAACTTGCTTCACCCGGCGGCTCCTTTCAACCCCCGGCCTGCGAGGCCAAAGCGCGCACCTCAGCATCCTCGTCCTTCAGCCTAGGCTCGGGCCGGGCTGCTTGCTCCGCCCGGTTTCATTCGGAAAAGCCAGGGGCTGTCTTCTTTTGAGGCATCCCTTTTTTGGGGTAGGGAAATAGGGACAACCACCAGTAGGGAACCAAAAAGAGGGGTAGGTCCTTTATTTAGGGACCTCCCCAAAACGGTGGTTCCTTTTGGTTTCCATTCAAAGCCACCATTGAGCAAGTATCCTCAAAATCAGACACATCCACAGGTTCTGGCAAACCGAAAACTGAATCAATCCGCAGCTGGATCGCGGGGCGAACAAGACATCCCCTTGCTGCGACAAAAAGGGATCCCCAGGGATAATTCCCAGTTTTACATGGGAGGAGAACCTCGAGGGCAAAAAAAACGAGGTTTTTGAAAACGACTCCCCGTTGAGTCGGAAGGCTTTGAGATGCTTTCCCAAGGTGCAAACAATTGGGCTCGTCCAGTGCGGCGCTTGGCTTCAGAATTGTTGGGTTGATTCCAAGCGTTCCTTTCAGGCACCCAATTCATCTTCGGGGGAACCAACTATTCAATGCTTGAATTCATTACCTCATTCAGGCATCAATTTTGATGTTGGTGCCATCTATGGAATGGGAACCTCGGATGAGACCCCTCGCTGATTTTTTTCTTGGGGGGTGTGCCCTTTTGGACGTTGGATTTAGACCACGTTTGCAGAAAGCGCAGTCATGGGGTTGACTATTTTGGGGCTTCGAAGGATTTGTTTGTTCCGAAGAGTGTCTTACGACAGAAGGAGAGACCAGTCTCGCAAATCCAGACTCGCGAGGCGAACCCATCAAAGTCTCCTGGCCAAGCGGTCAAAATGCCCATTTCCTCATGCTCAACGGCCTCCCCTTCGCGTCCAATCAGCCCCGATTGTTTCGAACCTTCCGGCAAAAACCGCGCAATCCGCGAGTGGTTGGGACCTCGAAAAAAGATGCGAACAAAATCCACCCTTCGGCTGGGCTGGGCAACTGCAAGTTTTGGTCCCACAGTATCCCGACTCGTTTCCTCGAAGCTGACATGGGACCTCATTAAATCAACGGGTGGAGTTCTCGCGAGAAAAGTCTTCGCCTGGCAAAGAAAAAGCGGTGGTTTGTGCCGGATCCGGTGTCGCCGACCTTTTTGTATGGCGCTTTTGTTTGCGTATGGTTCCTCAAGGGTTGGTTGCTTGGCTCACTTTGGCTTTGATTCACTTGGAGCTGCTTTTGGTCCAATCTGAGAAAGCAATTGATCCAGTAAGCAGTAAGCAAGTAGTTAGCAACTCGAGTTGGCAAGTGCCTCGAGTGGGTAATAATAGTTAGGGTACATAGATCCTACTTGGGGGACTTCCTACAAAGAGCTACCAAAGCACTTGCAGTCCAAGCCGGTGGCGGAAAGCGTGTCCACAGCAGAAAGCAGGTCCACCCGCCCAGACTTTTTTCGGCTCATTCACCGCGCGCGAAAAACACACTGGAGCGTTTCCGAAAACAGGTGACTGGTCCCGCCCCCCTTTTTGGAGGGCTCAGAAAGAAGACCGAAATGAAGCCAGCACAAAAAGAGGGTGTTCTCCTCGTTTTCGGACACGCCCCATTTTCGCAGCTCTCATCCGATTCTAAAGAGCCCCCGCATGGCTGCTTCTCACTTTCAGGTGAGTGTGCTGGGCTAACTACAGCTCAGCGGGCGCTCGATTCCGCGGGCACAAACACCATGCCCGGGCCACGGCTGAAATTGTGGCTGCGGACAGCCTGCGATTCTGCTAACATGCGTGGGTGTGCGCAAGCAAGCATATGTGTTTTGTCGTAGCTTTCAGCTTCTTGGGGCCCCCTTTTAGTGGCCTAAACCTTCCACATGCCCCCCCCTCCCCTCCCCCCCCGTTTGCCAGCGACCTTCCCTCGACTTCTCGGAGCCGCGTCTTCGATCGCGGGGCCGAGTTCGGGGTGCTTGGCGCTGGCCTGCACGAATTACGGGCGGGCACTTCCGGCCCGCGCCTGGAGATCTGGAGATGGCGCTTGCCGAGCGGGACCATCCGGGACTCCCTAAAGGGTCCCGTTTCTTCTTTCTGTAGTCGATTTTAGTAGGGGCAAAAGGGCACTACTTGGGGGACCAAGTTGATGTCCCTTTCGAAACCCGAACATGCGGCCCGGAAAACGGGAGGGATTTGGACCATCGGAACCAAGTGGGCCGGATGCTGTCCTTGGACCCAAAGAAGACTTGAGTAGATAGAGCAACGGGGAAGGTCTGGGGCTATGCATCTGGGTGTCCGAACGGATCTCAATATCGACTGAATGGGTTCTGCTGAGCGGGGATACTGAAATGGTCAGAACCCAAAGGTGCAAAATGCCAAGGCTTCCGCTACCCAAACCACTAGGAAGGGTAGAGATCCTGCTGTTGTGGTTCCACCCCTGTAGAAGGTTAGAAGAGTACTAAAAGAGTACTAAAAAGGACCAACAGGGGGAAGAACAAGTGAAATCCACAAAAGGCGCATCCAAAACGGTTTCTAGATCTTAGGACAAACTGGGAAAGTGAATATCAAAAAAAGCCTCTGGGACACTTGGTGGACCTCATTTCGGTGGGGTTTTACGTGCACCAACCACTTTCCCTGTGAACATTCACAGCCAAGGAGCAGATTTTGGCAGATGGCTTTGTCTCTGGCAGCTCAGGATGTTGGAAGCTCGCCTCTTCGTTTCCAGTGGCTACCCGACAGGAAGGAAGACAGAGGCAAAGCTTTGCCAAACGAGGCAAAGGCCAAGCCCATGACCCGAAGGGGGGACATCGCATGGGAACCAAGTGGTTCTTCAGCTGGATCAGCGTTTGCAGGAAACACACCCAAGACAGATCTGAAGGTTGATCAACGCTGGGTCAACGTTACCTCCGAAAGGATTCCGCGATCACCACCCCCACCCCACCCCACCCACGGCAAACCCCCAAATTGCCACACCTTCGCTCCAAAGCACCGCCCCAAGCCGTCCCTCTTTCCCTCATTCGCGGCCTTGCGACGGAGGTCATCTCTCCTGGCTGCAACTTGACCCGTCTATGGTGCGCCGGCTCATTCGGCTCACAGCACAAAAAGAAAAGAACAACGAGAAAAACAAATAGGAACAAAAACTAAATAAAAAGCCAAAAAGACTACTTGAGTGAAAACTTGGGGGGCCCCCGCCAAAGGATTCTTGCTCTGTTTGGTATCAGGGTTGTGCTTCTCCGAGCAAAAAGAAGAGCATGGGTCCAAGCAAAAGCAAGTACCTGTTCGCTTCCCTGCGGGGGGCACCAGGCGGAACAAAGCTGCGAACCCAAACTACCCAAACCCAGCCCCCCAGGCCTCTCCAACTTCCCCCCTCAAAAAACCAACACCCAACTCCCCACCCCCAGCTCCCCTTCAGACCATCCTGGCCCGCCCCCCGGTTTTCCCGCCAAGCCCACCGCTCCACCGCTCCACCGCTCCACCGCTCCACCGCTCCACCGCTCCACCGCCTCGCCGCGACGCGACGCTCATCGCTTCCGCGCCTCCAGCACCAGGCCCAGCGCCGCCTCCAACTCCTCCAGGCGGCTCTCCAGGCCGGAGGCCTCCGAAAGCGGAAAGCGCCGACGGACAGCGCGGCTCGCTCGAGCGCAGCGGTTGGTTTGTGTCCCCCAGATTTGAGAGGTTCGAAGAAGGGCACCGCTTCTTTTTCTGTAGTCCGTTTTAGTAGAGGATCCCTCCCCCCAAAAAAAGGGGAAAAGGGCACTACCGTTCCTGGGGGACCTAGTGTTGGTTTGCGTGAGTCGTGGGCGAGCTCTGGTGGTTTGGGGCAAACTCCTCCACCAGCGACACGTGGCCGCATCCCTGAAACAACCCTAACGCCGTTGAGTCCGGCGGCACCCACAAATCGGCCCCCAATGCCACCCCCAACGCCCAAAGTCAACCCTACCCCCCCCCCACAGCAGACTGGAGAAAGCAACCCCAAACTACGAGACCGGCCGTCATGCAGAAAACCCTAGCCGAAACCAGCAAGAAAGCAGCCAAACAGCCAAGCTGCCAACCAACCCACCAACCCAGCCCTAGTAAAAAACCAGCCCTAGGAAAACAAAACACCGGAATCCCCCCATGTCCACTTCCATGAGGGTTGGAAAGAGTGTAAGTGAGAAAAAATCCCCTCATTGATGTCTAGACAATTGATATCTACACAGTCAACACTGCGAAACTTCATATTCTGCGGTGTTTTGTTGCTCAAAAAAGGCACGTATTGTCCTGAGTAGATTGGCCACGAACAGCATCCCAACTCTTTGTTTGGCTGTGGCTCGAAAAGAATAACTAAAAAAGGCACCCTGGTAAACGAAAACAAGACTGAACCTGCGGATTGCCCTAGTTCTCAAGCTTTGAGAAACACCTATTTGGGTGTCTTTTTTAGGGGACCCCCCCCCCCCCGAAAAAAGTAGTAGCTTTCCTTTTGGTTTCCCTTTAAGACCAACCAAAACGGGTCTGGAAAAAAAAGGACAGACCCATTTGCTCAAATGGTCCAACCACAGAACGAACTCCGTCAGGCTACGGAACTCCCAGTGCTCGGGGTGCTCGGGAGGAAATGTTGAAGGGCTGAAACTTGAGCATCGGCTTCAATAAATGGCCTAAGGAAATCCCAAAAGAGGTTGTGTAAAGCAAAGGGAACTTAACCGGTCAGAAGTGTCCGTGTGGGTTCTGGTTGCCCACTTCCCTGCTGTACCTTGCCCCTTCGGGTACCTTAGAAAAACCCAAAGGCATTCTATAAGGCTTGGTGGAAAAGCCAAGCCAAAAACTTAGGCTTGGGCTAAAAGGAAACCAGGCTGCCCTTGAGGGCAAAAAAGTGTCCGTCTCTTGAGACGCAAGACTGGTGTCCATCTGGCTGTGGCGAATTCAAAAAAAAACCGGAGAAAATTCCAAAATGGGTTGCAAAATATCGGTAAGTGGGTTCCATGGGTACTTCAAAACCCTGCGGTTTGCCCAGCCCCTCCGATCGCTTAATTTTGAGCCAACGCCATCTACAGCAACCTCCCAAAACGGGTACCAACGCAACCCGTTTCTTCCAGCCCCGCCTTCATCGCCGTCACGAGCCTCAGCTGTGAGTCACCGGTGGCTCTGAGAGGAAGTCGGGGCCCCGAGCAAAAACCCCAAAGGTCGCCTAGTCCATCTGAAGCCACCAAAACGGTACGCTCAAAAAATGGCAAAAACCCGTTTGGGTATGGGTCAAACTTAAACCACCAGGATAAGTGATGCCAATTAGGAGGTCTGGAAACAAAAAAACCATATCATTGATCTATCCCTCCTGGGGGGCTGGGCAAAAAATGGTGATGCCCCTGCTGTGCTCCTTTTAAAGATGAGGCATGCAGTCGTTGGGATCTGCTTTGAATCTTTTACGTGTAAGAGGAGGCAAAAGCTGAGCTTGTTCAAGGCCTAACTACCTGGGTTGCCTCGGCGTTTGCCACCGACCAGAATCATATGGTTGATGCTGACCCATTGCTACCGACGTCCGGGGTAAATGGGTAGAAGCCATGCTCGTTACCTACTGGGGCTTGCAACGGTGGGTGATTAAGAAAATAGGAAAGTTGATAAGCATGTACCTGTTCCAAATCGATCGCCCCTTCAAGTAGGCTTGCCCTGACTCTAGGGGGTGTTGTGTCCAACAAACATTTTGAGGTTGGCTCAACCATAAAACTTCTTGCCATCTTGCCCACCATTCTGATCCCGGGCATTTGCAATAGCCAGTTTGGGAGTTAAATACGTCGATATTCCTCAAAGCAGGCAGATGCGTGGGTGCGCGCATGCTCCCAGTTTCAGCGACTCAAACCAGCGACTGCGCAATGTGTAAAGGAGCCGTGCGATGAGACGGGCGATGAAACCGCAGAACTCCTCCTCAAGCCCGCCTTTTGAACCAAGGATCCGCTCTAAGAGGATCCTGGCTTCCAAAAAGCAGGCCAAAACAACCAAAAAGACAAATGCATGTGGGGAAACAGGGCAGCCTGTTCAGCTTGGCTTAAAGGGAAACCCAAACGAAAGCCGCCGTGAGGTTGTTTGCGGGGCCCTATTTTCACACCTACCCCTAGCCCTCAAAGCGCGGGCGTGATACCCGCGCCGAGATCCAAGTCCCCCGCTGGCCAGCAGAAAGCGCCGCCTGAGGTCGGAGTACATCCCTAGCCACGGTCAAACTTACTTATTTGGGGGGTGCTTGTTTTTGAGGGCGCCATGTTTGGTGGTTTCAGAGAAGAACCAAAAGGAAGACCAATGCTCGCCATTTTAGGGGTCCCCTTCATGTCCCCGAAAGGACTGTGCCAGATTCTTTTTGCACGGAGCCTATGGTCAGCTTCGGGGAAAGGCTCGAGTTCTGAACCCGCACCATCAGGAAACGGAGGCTCGCCAGCGTCTCGCCGCACACACTGCGCGATGTGACAGCATACCCGCCGTTCTTTCAGCGACGTCGGAAGCAAAACAAAGGGCGTGTGGCATGTGCCTTCCGGCCATTGATGGCACGCCGTGGCTTCTGGTTTGATTGGATGTGCGCGTGCGGATTCTTCTCAAAGCCTCAATAGGTTAAAATCAGCCCGGTAAATTTGCTTCTCAGCTTTTCAACTGAACCCCAAACTGAACCATCCCTATGAACAGTGAAGGGAATGAGGGAATGACCCCTTATGAAACGAGAGAATACCTGACTCCACTCTAAAGGCTTCTGAGCTTCAAAAAGACACCTGCAAAAGCGTCTTGCTGGTTCTCCGATTCCGGGAATGAGGAAATGACCCCAAACTGAGCCTCCCAACTGGTGGTTTCCTGTTTCGGCACAGTTCACTCCCGAAATCCTACTGAGAACCACCAGGCTTAGCTCAAGGGAAATGAGATGCCCCTGACACATCGGGGAAAGGGAGGGGGGGGGGAACTCAACCGATCAAAGCGCAGCCCCCTCCGGGTCCCGTCAACAAAAGTGGGCGGCCAAAAACAACGGCCCCTGAAGACGTGTCCCAAAGCTGCATGTCTTTCAACAAATGGTACAAACCTATGTATATATATATATATATATGTGTGAGGTATGTACGGGGTATGTGTTGAAAAAAAACTAAGCCCAGAGCACATAGCTGGTCAAACTCACCTGCCCCCTCCCCCTACATTAAGCGGGGTTCTGTCATTTCAAAGTCAGTAAGGCTTCTTGTACAAAACTGGCCTGATTTGACCACGTGGTAGGTCAAAGGGAAACACCCCCAGCCTAGCCAAACAGGGTTCCAGGGCTCATGAACATCATTTCGGAAGTTAAGTGGCTTTCTGGCCTTTTGGGCGCTTACTAAATCCTGCTTGAAGGCTTGAACTGAAAAATCCCAATCCTAGTTGCAAGACCACCCTCATTTTAAACATGGGGCGATGCCCCCCCAAACTCCTCCAATTAATGACGCGCCACAGAGAGGTTCAATCTGCTTGATGTTTTCCGGATTGAGAGAAACCTGATTCGAACAAGTCAACCAAGTTTGCCACTTCATTTGCGCAAGCCTTCCTGACTGGCAACCATCAACTTTAAGGAAAAACAACAGGGTAGTGCTGGCAATGCTCGTGATGCTGGTAATGACGGTGATGCAGGTGATGCTGTCACGCACCTTAAACTCTGGTCTGCGTGGCCAGTCCTGGCATGTGAACTTGTGATCAAAGGAGGGAGAAAGGTATAAGGAGGAAACGTCTCCCTGCTGCTGACACTCAGCCAGAGCTTGATGGTTATCCTACCCGGCCGGTATCCAACAGGATCTCGTTCCATTCATCCACACCCACCCACCCCAAAACACTCAAAAACACCCTCTCCCCCCCCCTTGCCCCACCCAAAGAAAGAAGACGAAAACCCACGAAACGAACCGAAAACCACCCGGGCTCGCGCGCCTGGGGCGAGGCCGGAGGCTTCCGGAGATCCCCGGAGCCACATCGGGCCTGCAGCCCATGGGGGGGGGGGTGGGGGACGCAGTGAAGTTTCCTTTGGTTTGCTTTGGACCCTTGTCGTATTTCGGGGGAGACCCCCCTTTTTTGGGGTTGGTTCAAAGGGTACAGGGAAACCGAAATCCATTTTCCTTTAAAAAAAGGACAAATGGCGATTTTGGTGAGGAAGCCCACCAAACAGCAAGGGAGTGCGAAGCTTTCATGTCTTGACACCAGAACCAATTTGGGAGGCACATGACTGAATGTCCTGCAAAACCCGAGGTACCGGCCCAAAGCTTTCCCTGGTGAATACTCTTTCTCCAACAACTATGAAAGTGGAGAGAGTTGTTGGAGGGATGATAACTCCCGCCCCCGAGTTTGTCTGTAAAAAGGTCGGGACCCTGGAAGAAAGCAATCCCCACTACAAAAAGGACCCTGATTCATGAAACTGGCGGGGGTACTTATCAGGGGTCGACATGAAATTTATTTTTGGGGTGGAAAACCTCTTCAAACAACCGTTGCGCTCGGTTCTCCTGACTTGGCCGAGGTTTTGAAAAAGTGCAACGGTTACCTGGGTAACCAAGGGAAACCGTGTTTTACACACAAAGCTGAAATCCCTTACATTAATGACTCTGGGGTCCCGGAACCCCAAAAAAATCACATAAACACCGTTGAAACCACCATTTAGAGGGTACGGTTGCCCTAAATACTGCAAGGGGAACAAGGGAACTCCAACTACTTGATTCTGTCTTCCCATGGTTTTCTGGGGTGTGGTTGGTTTACTTCCAATATGGCAGGGGGCACCCGCCATAGTTTTCAGGATGTCGCTTTCACTTTACACCTAAGATGAAATCCAGAGCGGGTGGGTCGCAGCCTGGGCTTCTGCAACACTCACGACTGGACAGCCCTCCAAATTGTGCTTCCAGCCGCAAGCGCATATGTTGATATGCACGCAGCGGGCTTTGAGCAACAAACTTTTGTCTGCTGAAGGCTGTTGCTGGATCTTTCGTGAAAGCGTAACTCCATCGCGGACCCTCCCTCCCACGGACAGAACACCCGCAATGCGATGGTCTTTAAACCATTACCCTCTCCCTAACAATCATGGAAGTTAATCGGGGGTTGGAGAACCAAAAAGATTCCCGGTCCACTGTCATTGATGCTTGGAACGAGGACACAGGTCACACAGGGTGGCTAAAGCATTACACACACACACACGCACACACGATTCTCCTGCGCCCATCACTTGGTTTGGTTTTCGAGCACAGCCAAGTCTTGTGAGGTTGATGACCACCCCTACCAACCCCAAGTAGAGTCTTTCGGCACACATGTGCCACGGTCAAAACCAGTCTTCCCCTCCCCCCCCCCGCCGACAAAAAAGAAATGACCACAAATGCTGACCGAACCTCATATGAGTTTGTCTTTTTTGACTTGGGGGCTGTTCCTATTTCGAGACAAAACCCATCTTGTGGCATGTTTGCTGAAGCGCGGTACTTCCAACCTAAGAATCTGCCGAGCGGCCACTCGGCCATCGGCCTGACGGAAACGTGAGGGTAGAAGAGGGTGCTTGAAGGGGCGGGATACTTAGTAAGTGATTCGGAGCCATGGGCCAGTGACTAAAGGAGTTTACAACCACGGCTTTGGTGGGGCTCGTTTGCCCACTGAGCATTTGCTAAGTACCTGGTTCTTGATCCTCAGCTTTTTGAGAGAAATTCCTTGGGTGCCAGACATTAGACCCCTAGCGAAAGATCCGATGAAGCTGCAGCATGATGGGTTTTGGGGTGAAGCTGCCAGAAATCGTGATTCACGTAGAGGGGTTGAAGTCACAACAGGGCCTGGCATCAAAGGAAGCGCCCAAAGCGTGGCTCAGCTGAATCCAGTTTGGCTTCAGAGGGTCCAACGGAAAAATTTGACCAAGGGAAAATGAGAACCAAGCAGCGCAACTGGTGTTTTGATCTCTTGGGTCGATTGAGGTGAGAAGTGACCTACCAAAGGCCAAAGGCCCTTTGCCAAGCTGTAAAAAAGGCTAGCCATTTCACGTCAATTCGAATTTTCAAAATGCAATATCTCGGCTCTGGGGTGCACTGCGGAGCGCACCCTTTTCTTGAGCCAAAACCACACGGAGTGCAATCAGCGCATTGGGCAATTATGACTATACATATCATGACTCCTCCTTGCTGGAAGAGCGTCTCTGTACACGCTCGCACAGCAATATAGGTAGCGGAGTCTGGCCAGGGACCTTAGCCTTCTAGTAGCTTAAGCTGTCCCTTGCTACGCTGGTTAAGGAAAACATAACCACACCTTCGCATGGTCTCAGACATCTGTACACCTGGAATGCTCTTTGTTAGAGCATCCGCCCTGTTGGACTTGCCAGGGGTATGCTCCACCCTCAAACCACAGGAACCTCGTCTGGATGTGACGGGCCTTTCCCAGACCTGCCCGATTGACAGTTCCTTTTGCTGCAGTCGCATCTGATTGAATCAGCACCTGGGTCTCGACCGCAAAGTCCTCCAAGAGTGACTGTAGGCCTAGACCAACTGAACCTCCTTTGACAAGAGCATAATACTCCGACTCCCCAGTCGACAAAGCGATGGTCGACTGCACATTGCTGCTGTGCTTGAGCACATGCAACCCATACAGAGCAACCATGCCTGTTGTGGATCTCCTCGTTATTGCGTCTCCGGCATGATCGGAATCCACCTGGATTCGGAGCTTGCTCGGCTTGGCTTGCCGTGCAAAGACCTGACACACGTCCGGCTTCTTGATGAGGTAGCGACACAGTCGCTTCAAATCCTGCAAAGATGCCTCTGTAGGAGAAACCATCTTCCTCGCAAGATTCTTCACAGCGTGGCTGATGTCCAACCTGTCCTGTGACAGGTACGCTGCCCTCATCACGCATGAGCGATACAGGGAAGCCTGCTCTTTCGGTAGAGCTGGGCTCCGGGCTTCCTGCATCTGCAAATCCACGGACTTCTTCACGTCCGGTGTCTCCGCTCCCTTGGCATTCTCCATGCCAAGCTGCTGCACAAGCAAATCAACATGGCGTCGATCTGGCTCGATCAGGATCGCACTCGCTCCTTGATGTTGTTCACAACGAATGAGCCGGTTGAGAAAGTGGACCTCCTTGTGGTCTCCTTCCTCATCACCTATCGTCCCGAGCCATTTCAACTCGTAGGCACTGCGAAGCAAAGTATCTACTTCCTTCAGCGCCTCGGCGTCTCCTAACGCCATGAAATCATCTCCGTGCACCAGCACTCTTATTCCCAGTGTCGGGTGATAGAACACTGAGCCATTTGACTTTCCCCGGAGATATCCGGCTTTGATCAACAGCTGCGTGTAGTGCTGCTGCCATATGTTAGGGGCATCCTGTGTCCCGTACATCGACTTAGTCAAACGACCCACCATTCCCGGACTGGCGTCCTCGTCCGGCAACTGGATGTATATGCGGCGTTTGGGTACGCCATAGAAGTGGGCTCTTGATATATCCCAAAGTCCGATCTTGAGTGGTCGTCCTCCATGGGATACACGCTCAGTGGCCCATAGGCTACATAGCAGCCTCATAGCCTCTAAAGGCGGTGTTGACGAAAACAGCATGTTCTGAGGAATCCTTTCCTCTGGACTCTTCCGGGCCTTGATCTCCCGGACCACCAATCTCGACCTGAAGTTGGGATTGGCGGGGTCTCCCTTGTTGGTGTCTATCCAACGGGTGGTGATTGGACCCTTCCCGTTGGTCTCTCTGAGGCATTCCTCGAGCGGCACCTTCTCGTAAACCTCTTGCTTCCTAAGATAGTCCAACTCGAGCTGACGTGCCTCCCTGACTCGGTCTGGTGGCAAAAACCCACCATTCACGTCGTCCCAGTACTGCTCCACGTCTTCCGGCGTCACGAAGCTCTCCTCTGGGATTGGACCTGCAACTGCTGCGTCCAATGCACTCAACTGGCCACTCTCTACAAGGTGGCTCTTCAAAGTCTTCAGGACCGCTCGCACTAGCGCTGGCGGATAACGGGCCGCCGGTCTAGCGAGTCCTCCGATCAGGTGGATGTGCCGGTGCCATGGTTTCCCCGGCACATTGTTGGTGCATTCGCCCTCCAACAGTTGGGCCAAACCTGGATGGTTGGTCATCCAGCCAGTTTCTTTCCGCACATATCCTGTGCCCTGCAAACCCCTCCGGTCCGTAGCGACCATAGCCCATCTGCACATTGGGCCTCGGACAGTGTACACGTCCGGTCTCTCAGTGAGCTCACGGACCTCCGGGTCTTTCCAAGAGGTAGCACTCCACGGTGCCTCATGCAAGAAGAACCTACCTGCCTGCAACTGCTTCCTGTAGAACCTACAGGCGGTATGCAAATGAGCAACTGCTCTATCCATCTTCTCGCGCCTCTTGTCTGGGCTCACCCTGTACTTGTTGATGTTCTGGAGCTGGGAGAATTGGTCACAAGGTGGGCTCCCTGTGAGCAATGTCGGCTCGACCTCGTCCACATACTCCTCGAGCTCTCGGACGTCCTCAGTCTTGCTGAGATCCCAGTAGGAACCGTCCGGTTTCTGCTCCTCAAGGTCTACCGCAAAGCCCGGCCTCAAGCCATACTGCCCGGCTTGGGCCGTGAACCGCTTCGGGCTGTAGATCTCCATGATATCAACAGCGCCCATCTCCACGCACAGCTTGGTGATCTGCTCCAGCTCGACCGCGTTGATCTCCACCTCCTGAGCCAAAAACGCTCTCTCTACTTTCCGTCCAACCATGGACTTCAACATCCTCTTCAATCGACCCAGTTCAAGTCCACCCACGTCTGGGGGCTTGTCCGGGGTGTTTGAAGTCTCGGCGTCAGCCGCCGGTTGAGTCTCCGTTCGGAGTTCTTCAGGAGATACTGCGGGCTCTCGCTTCTCACCTTGCTTCTGCTGCGTCTTCTGCTTGGCTCCGGGCGCTATATACAGCGCTCCCGGTCTCTTGATCTGCGTGGTCGGCTTCGCCTTGCTCTTTGGGCTACTCGATGCTGGCGGGTCTGCTGCTGCTCTCTTGAGTTCAGCCCTCTTCGCGGGATCCTCCACATACTCCATCACTTGTCCAGGGTCTTGCCTAGATCCTACTCCGGCCTCAGCGGCCGGCTCTCCCATGGCCTCTTGGGCTGGGAGATCTGCTTCCACTCCTACTTCCGCGGTCTCCTCTCTTTTCCTTTTGTGAGCTTCGACACGGCGTCGTCCTTGCTCATCATCCATCATGAGACCGACGATTCTCGCTCGGCACATCTCAGTGTGCGGCAACTGAGTGGATTCCCCTAGTAGCACGCAAGTGCATCCAGGACATCCATCAGTAGGTTGGTACTTCTCCACATCTGCCTTACGGATGTAAATCCGTCGCTGCTGTGGCGGTGCCATAACAGGCACAACCTGAGGCGGAACCTCAACCCGGTCTTCACTGACCAGCAGGTCCTCCACTCCTTGAGCAGGAGTTCCCGGGGCCCTCTGCCCCGGCGTTCCCGGCGCTCGCACTGAGACCTCCCACGGGTAGCCTTTAAGGCTTTCCCATCCTTGTGGATTCCATTGATCTTCTTCTGGAAGTCGACGAACACCAGTGCCTCTCTTCACTCCTTCTGAGGTCACAACCAGCAAAGTGCCAGTCCTTCCGTGGTGACCTATGTACCTGCCTTCCTTGAGTGGCCTAGCTCCTTCTCCTACCTCACGGTAATACAACCGCTCTCCTATGGCGATTGCCGGCTTTCTCCATTCTCGGCCACACCTCCTTTGTTCCGGTGTCTTCCCGTCGGAACCTCTCTTGTACCTGCACATCAGGTCTGCTGCATGCCTTGGAAACCAAGACAGCACAGGGTCGTCATCCTTCAAGACTCGACCCAACTTCTCCTCCAGTGAGGATCGCAGGACTCTCACCTGCCTTTTGAGTTCTCGGCACAAGTTCTCGATTGCGCCATTCGCCCGGTGGTCAGCCACCGGCGACTCCTGTGGAACATTCTCCACTCCTGCTTCCTTGGCCGCCTGCTCCTTCAGGGCAACGATCGAATGCTCACCATCACTCTTGAAGACTGCACGACGGTAACCAAGATGCTTTATAAAGTTCGCCATGAATTTGACCGCATATGGCGTCGGTCCTTTTGCGTCCACGAAGGTGGCCGCAACGGCCAGTGTCCGACTGTCTCGGATCACCAGGATAGGCTTAGTCTTCCCATCCTCCTTTCCATCTCGCGTCATCCATGTGTAGTCGCACGAGATTGTCGCGAGCTCATCGCTCGCCTTGTCCTCTTCGGGTCGTGAGCGATGCTGCTGACCCAATCCTCTGCCGGCAAGACAATGCCGACACCAGTTGCGATACTGCACGTGACCTGTTGCCTCATGCTCCGCAACCTCGGCCCTCGATGGGCCTCCTGGTGCTCTCACCAGTGCGGGCGGCGCGATCTCGCCGCTCTCATCCATCTCATCACCCTCGGGCACACCTGCGGGTCGGCCCGCTGGTGCCTCTGGGTTCCCTTGTCCGGCACCCACGGCATCATCTGCCGCTGCAAGTGGTTTGGCCGGACTTACGCCTCGCTGGACTGCCGTCCAAAACCCGAACAATCTTCCGACTTCAAATAGAAGTTGTAAACTCCTTTCTCTTGGTATATGGGCAACCAAGTATTCTTTTGGGCTTTACTGGGCTTGTTGAGCAACTGCTGAATTTTCCTTCCTGTCGCTGAGTCTGCTGGAATCAACTGTCCACCATTTTGATCAAGAACAGCCATCCTTCCATGGTTGAGGCATTTGTAAGCTGAAACCAACGGTTTGTGTACCGGTGCTAATGGCCCTGTGACTTTACACCTGGAACCTGTTTCACTCTTACCTTGAAACGTCCCGGTTCCGGTCCCAGGGACCAGTTCCCCCGATGCTGTCTTGAACATCATCTGGGCTCCTTCCTTAGTGGGGATGCGGTCTTTCCAATCCACTGGAATAGCAGTTTGAGCAGCCCCCGTATCAAGGTTGAACCGAACCCAGTTTGGGTCTTTCGGGGACTCTCCCTGGGTGAATGCACCCAGCTCAAACATTCCCACTTCGGCCTCCGGTTGTTCTTCTTGGTCTCCAGCTTCGTAGTCGGCGTCCTCGAATCCTGCCACATGCTTCTGCTTGGAGCCAGACTTCCCTGAGCCTTTGGAACCTTTTCCATCCTTCTTCTTGCTCCAACACTCGGCCGCTCTATGGCCGGGCTTACCACAGTTGAAGCATGCTCCTGCGGGTCCTGAGCTGCCTGAACCACTGCCTTTACCTTTTCCTTTGCTGTCCTTACCTTTTCCTTTGCCTTTGCCTCCACCTTTGTCCTTTCCCTTACCTTTGCCTCCTTTCGAACCTTTCGAGCCTTTGACCAGCGAGTTGAGCACCTTCGTGATGGCGTCCACGTCCATCGGAGCGGGGCCTTGCCCCGATCTCGAAGCCCCACTGGACCCCGGTCGATGGATCGTCCCCTTGGCTCCCGTGACTGTTTCAATCAGAACCTCAATCTCCTGTTTCATTTCCTCGTAGGTTCCCAGCCGGTTCTTGTTCAGAATGAGGTGGCGCTCAATGTCGGTTGGAACCAGAAGTTCTAGGGACGTACACTTTATGTCCTGAGAGAGGATTTCCCTCTCGCCCCTTTCGTTCCTTCTGGCCTCATATCGGCGCATCAAATCATCTAGTTGTTCCATGGCCGGTCGAACTGCTTCCCAAGACTTAACTCTTTCGGGGTTGAGGATGGCCCTTAGGATGTTCCTCTTCCTACCTGCGGTGAGGGGGTCCCATCTCCTGTTAAGCCTTCGCCATGCCTCATACCCGTTCTTGGCATTGATGACCAGATCTTCGGACTCATGAGTAGTAAGGGATGACAACAACCTATACAGCTGGTCTCCCTTATCATCCAGTCCGGCCATTCCCAGTTCACCTCCATGTTCCTCTTCTACCTTTTCAACAGTGATCTCCTCATCCTGATCAACTACCCATTCAAGGATTGACTGGAAACTGGATCCAAAGATTGCCGTTGTGAGGTTCACCACAGACCGGGCCCATCTACGGAAGTGGCCGTCATCATTGGAGAAGACTTCCGGTTTTCCAATCCCTTTGGTGTCTATCAACAACTTCCTATCGCCTTTCTGCAGGCTTGTAGCTAACCTACCAAGGTTCTCTGCCAAAGCAGCTATACCTGCCTGGCCTTGCCTAAGAAGTTGATTCTCCTGTGACAACCGCTCAACTGCCTGCTGCAACTCTCGCACTGTTTCCTCCATGCCTTATATCCGGTGCCAAGCACCGGGAGGTCAGTCCGCCTTCCCGGACTCTTCTGTACTATAGTACGACCCCGAGCTCGATCCGCTTTTCGGCTCCGGCGCCGGTTGATCGTGAAGGTGAACACTGCCCTCGGTCTCGCTCAGGGGTGTAGCCGGCGACGGAGTCGGTGGCGGAGGTGGCGGCCGCTTCGGCCGAGCCAGCGAAACCTTCGGCTCGCTCTTGGGCTTCTCGATGTGGGCCTTCTCCTTGAGCACCCACTTCGGTCTTGGCGATGGAGGTGGTACCTTCGCCTCTATAGCCGCTTTTGCAGGAGGTGGCTTCACCTGAGGCTTCGCGATAGCTTCCGGTACTGACTTTGAGGTCGTTCCTACCGGTACGCGCCTCCTTGCCGCCCCTTTTGCAATTGCTGCGGCCCTGGCCAACAACGATGGCCTCTGAAGGCGAGTCCTCTCGTCGCACGAGGAACACGGGTTCCCCAACCCGTCCAGTTGCAGCACACTCTGCTGGATGGCTCTGGCCACCGAGCCCTTTGCTCCGGCTCGGTGTGCAGCTTCTGCCAATGCCGCCTTCCTGAGGCGGTAGTTCGAGGCCAGGTTCTGCTCGCTCGTCCCTTCACCGCGGGATGTCCTTGCCACCGCAAGCTCTTGTATGTCCCTGTGCACCGTAACCCGTCGGCCGAGAGCTTTGGCTGCCTCGGCGACCGGTGCCAGCAGCTCGGGCTCAGCGCCCGGTGAAGGCTCCTTTCCTTGGGCCTTTGTGAATCCCTTCGGCGGTGTCTTCGGAGCAGGGCTGGACTTAGGCGGGGACTTCGGTGGTGTCTTGGGCTGCACCCGGCGCCTCTTCCAGGGCGCCTGCCCGAAGTTCTCGATCTCCTCCTGGAGCTCCGCGGATGGCTCTTCCTGCTTCTTCTGCGCGAGCTTCAGGAGGCCTTTGAGGATCCTAAAGTGCCGACTGTTTTGGCTTCTCCTCTTGTCTTTGCCAGTCGCACTCTGCCACCACCGAGATCCTGACGACCTAGGCGTGTGAGCGACCTTGGGCTCGGGCTGGATCCTGCCCTCGCTGCCCCAATCGCCCCACACGCTCTCGTCCTCGCTCTGGCCCTTCTGCTCCAGGTCGAAGTCCGTGGCCTCGGGCTCAAACTGCTTCTTCTGCGGCGGGTGGAGGTCCTCCTTCTTGTCCTCGTTGGTGTATTGTTCCAGCTCCTCCTCCTTCTCCTCTGCCCGGCTTCCTCGAGCCGGTTCTGGGCCCCTGTGGCCACTTGGCAGAGCCTCTGGCTCTGAGGAGGGAGGAGATGCAGCCTGGGATCCTCCCCAGTCTGCTTCTGACTCAGCGGCAGGCTCAGCGGACAGGGTGTCTTCCTCTTCTTCACTCGGAGGGGCAACTATCTCCGGCCTCTCCTTCGGCAGCTCTTCCGCTGCCCCGGTCTCCTCGACCGGCTCTGCGGCTTTGCCTTTGCCGCGAGCGGGCCGCCTCCACGGCGGCTCCTCCTTGTTGCTCTTGCCCCTGCCCTTCTTGCCCTTGCTCTTGCCCTTCTTGCCCTTGTTCTTGCCCTTGGGCCCCTCGTACGGCTTTCCAAACCAAATGGACCGTCGAGGCTCACCCGCTACCATCAAAATGCAATATCTCGGCTCTGGGGTGCACTGCGGAGCGCACCCTTTTCTTGAGCCAAAACCACACGGAGTGCAATCAGCGCATTGGGCAATTATGACTATACATATCATGAAATTTTCACCAAGCCCAAAAAACACGTGTCTCCAAGAAAAACCGGAGGCACACTCAAACGGGTATTTCTCTAAATGCCGTTTTTGAAAGGATTGATTTCCGTTTGCCTTGGAATTCCAAAGGGTCCACCACTTTGGAGAAACGCCCAAATTGCTACGGGTGCGGATTTACCAAGAAGCCAAAAGCCAAAAAGCCAAGAAGCCAAGAAGCCAAGAGCGAAGAAGAAAAAAAAACGGAGAACCAAAAAAAAAACTAAAATAAATACCCCTCCAATTGCGACTCCGAAACCCCGAAACCCCAACGAGGCTTTCGCGCGTGAACCCGGCGCCTTGGGCGACACCGTGCCTCGGGGAGCGAAGCGAAGGGGCGCTGGTTGGGGCCATCACCTAACCCCAGGGTTAACCCCTGCAACTAGGGCTACCACAACCCTTGGTTGACGATGGAAGGGGAGCAAAAATTTGAATCTTCGCACATTTTAGCACTTAAGTGGTTGCATTTCCCACTAAACCACAATAAGAAAACATGTAAAATGTTTCCCAACAACAATGAACTCTCCAGTGGCCAAAAAGCTGGCGGGCAAGTCGATTCAGGGGATTCCACCCCCTCCCCATTGAGGCCGCATTGAGGGGTAATCACTAGGCCACCCCGACCACAATGCTTCGCAGAACCCTTCTAAGACCCCCTAAGAAAGTTCTCAGAACCCGTTGTGGGTTGTGGGGGGCGGTCTAGGGTGTTCCCCTTTCATTCAAGGAAATGAGGGGAAACAATAGATTCTGCAGATCCAAGCTTCGAGTACGTGCTTTCTGCGATATGCTGCATACACCCCGTATGGGTATGATGTCAAAGCTTGGCATTTTGGACCCAAACGGATGTCATTGCTCCTTTTGGTTGCCCTTACCGAATCGCCTGAATCGGTGACAAGAAAAGAACACGATCCCAAGGGATCAACTGCCCATTGGATGTCCATGGGATTCGGCATCCGTTTCGTTAGTTGTTAGCGGAGAACCCTTCCCACAAGGTTGCAAAAAGGGGCGGAGTCCACTGGGCAACTGGGACCCATCCATCCAAATCTTAAGTAACGCACGCTCGCACTCAGGCCGCGGCGGCGCGGCGTCAGCGTCAGGCCGTTTGGCTCAGCCTGGGCGAAAGCGTGGCTCCATACACAGCTTCAAGGGCGATTTTCCTCTTGCTTCCCCTTCACCAACCCATAACCCTGGGAATGACCTTTTTAGTCTTTGGCACCTTTTGCTGGAAGTGATTTACACGAGACTTTCTGTCCGGCAGCCACTTAGGTTCCAACTGACTAGAATGCATCGCGTCGACCCTAGAGCCAAAGACGCAAGCGGGCAGGCCGCAAAGACCGTCCTCTTGACTTCGACCCCACGAAGAACGTTTGGCACGGTGCGATCGCAGCCCTCTCCGTGTTTCGTCAGAAAAAGTGGGCGGCAGAAAAAAGATGGCCCCTGAAGACATGCCCCAAAGTATGTATGATATATATATATACATATATATATATATATATACGTATATACCTTGATGCTTCATATTTTTGTCTATCCCAACAGCTTCAGATTCTGTACGAGGAGCCGTTCAGCCCCCCTGAAAAACACCCGAGGCCTGGGACCCCCTGCCCAACGTCGACCTGCGAGGCCCGGGGCTCGGGCACACGTGGCTTCGGCAAGTCTTTGGGGTGGCTCCAGCTTTCTTTGGATGTGTGCTTGTTGAGGGAGCCTGTTTGTTGGAAAACACAACCTCGTTTTTGGGTTACCCCTGACGTTGAGGGTGTGAACAAAATGCGAAGGGCAAGGAAGAAAACCCGCGAGTCCAAAGGCCTGACTTGCCGTCAGCCAACCCTTGGAAAGGAAGAGAAGCCCTGCTTGAGTACAGTAGAGGGAAACCTTCAAACACCCAAATTAGATTCTTTGTCAGGTTGATGAACCCGGGTCGGCATTGTTACAGTGGTTGAACCAACCAACCTCATTCACACAATGGATTGGGTTTGTCCCTACTCTAGCGAATGAATTTGTGGAGAAAATCCACCCGCTCGGATCGAGAACCAGAGCCTCCGTTCAGAAAACACTGGTCGCTTTGCACCCCAAGGATCACCCACCAACCCCAACCAGAGATCGAGATGAAGAAAGCGAACCTTAAAAAGGAGAAATGTGGTATATAACGACATAACAACATACTATATCTATACAAATAATTTCGAGGGTTAAAACACACAACAAAGGGAGGAGACCCAGAAAACGCCAATCCTCCGGTCCCGATCGCTCGACGCAAGCGTTGGAACCCCACCGCCCCACCGCCGCCTGCGGCGCTTCGTCCCGTGGACACCGCAGCTCCCAGCGCCGTCGCGGAGGGCTTCCGCGCCACCTGCGCCTCGCCCGAGCGGAAAAGGCGGCCGAGGCGGGTGGATTCCTCGGCGCTTCCTCCACATACCCACGAAGAACAAGGACATATGCATGCTGGAAAACCTCATTTAGGTGGAGATTTCTGTCCACCTAAATGAGGTCTACCAACATGGTGACATTCATACATATGAAGTCAAGCCAAATGGGAAGCCTATCCTTTGTTTGTGATCATTTAGGTTGGTGGTTTGGAGATTTGAGCCCTTGGTTCTTGGAGAGGGTAAACAGGCAACCACCCCGGCTGCAAACCACCAACTGTTCTGATATGGGCGTTGTTGCGGGTGGGTCCTTTTTGGCCGACCCGCAAGATGGTGGTTTTCCTTTCGGCCAGGCCAAGACAACCTGGTTTGCGAGTGTAAAACAACCTCCGAGCACCTTTGCCAAAATTGCGCCTTGAGCATGGCGTTCTCCTTCGCCAGGCTCTCCAGCCGGTCGAGCTGCTCCTAACCCCGAAGCCCTAGACCCACTCACACAGGATGGATTGGGTGGACATGAGGGTGATTTGAACTGCGTGCACCTGTCGCCGAAGGAGCACCAATGCAGCTGCCTTGTGCAAGGTTTTCTGGCCTCCAGTAGAGAGGTTGGAATACGGGTACCCTTTTTTCCTGTAGTCTATTCTAGTACGGGAACCCTCCCCCCGCAAAAAAGGGTACAGGGGCACTGGGGGACCCAGGTTTGCTCTTCTCATGTACCATGAATTCTCGAAAAAGGAGCCTCGGGGAAACGGGAGGCCTTCCTGGGCTTCGACAAATGAATGCCAACATCTGGGGATACAAGCCTCCAACGTGGAACCTGTGAGCATTTGAGGGCCCTTCCAAGATTCCTAGGATAGATCGCTCGAGAAAAAAAGCCTGCCCAGAAGCCAGTCGAGAGGGCTGAAAGCCTCGAGTTCGAGCAAATTACACCTTGCAACTGGGGAAAATACCGCAAGCAACAACTCACTACTGTATAATTGTTTACAAGGAATTGGCAGGGTCAGTGGTGGATAAGCAATAACTCATTGGATGTATGTTGCGGTAGGTTGCCTCGGTCCCGGAACCGCTCGTGCCGTGGCTGGACAAAATTGCCGACGAGAAAGGATGAAGGGACCATGGCCTGACACACTCGAGCGAAAACCGATGTCACTTTTTGGTTCTAACATGGTCAAGTCGTATGTCATACACTGCTTCATAATCCCTAGGTAGAGCCACATAGTGGTTCTACCCCTGGGATGTTACAGGCCTGGCAAACCCTTTGGCATAGGTCCAAAAGTCAATCCTGGAATGGCGCGCTCTGGCGCAAACCCAGCCCCGCTTCCAGCGCTTCCTGCTGCTTGCTGATCTTCTGGAGCAGGCCCTTGCGGTCGATGACCTGGAAGCTTCGGCAACTTAGGGAGGCCAGGCTTGGCAATCGAATGCGAATGTGGGTCCCCTGGCTTGGCGTTTGGCCCCCCTCACTTGTCAGTGAGACCCCCATGTTTCTTTTTTCTGTGGACGTGAACTGGGGAAAACTCCGCCACCTTTTGGCGGTGTCGACTGTCCAATAAATTTGGGCGAACGCCACCTTCAAATCTTTTGGTTGAAAGGCATTTGCGACACACAAGGTGCCGCCTAGAAGCAATATCCACCCCTAGATTTGGCCAAACCCTCGGATCAATCCGAAGGAGCGTAACCAAAAATACCCCCCCAAGTCCGGACTCATGCAAAGTTGCTGCCGCCGGTTCCCATTTGGACCCTGCCGATCTCTGCCGCCTTTCAAATCGGGCTACCTTCCAAATCCCTCCTAATCTTCACAAAAGCCAAGAACAGTGAAGCCCAAATTTGGACCACTGGGTTTTGCCCCACCCGAATTTTCCTCCCCGGTCCCCCCCCAACCCAAAAAAAGCGACGTTCCTCCCCCCCCCAACCCAAAAAAGAAAAGAAAAAAAAACGACGACTCTTCCCGGCCCCCCAAATTTTCAACACCACCCCTTCAAAACGCTTTTTCCCGGGGGGGGGGGGGGGGGGGGAAGGTGAGGTCCCCAAAGTTTTCTGGGTTCCCCAGTAGTGCCCTTTCTTTTGCCCTTTTTTGGTTGGGAGGGAACCCCCCTACTAAAGAAGACTACAGAAAAAAGGCCCACTAAAATACAGAAAACTAGACTACAGAAAAAAAAAAGGGAAACCCCCTACTAAAATAGACTACAGAAAAAAGGCCTACAAAAATAAAGAAAACTAGACTCCAGAAAAAAAAGGGAACCCCCTACTAAAATAGACTACAGAAAGAAAAAAAAAAAGCCTACTAAAATACAGAAAACTAGACTCCAGAAAAAAAGGGGAAACCCCCTACTAAAATAGACTACAGAAAAAAGGTCCACTAAAATACAGAAAACTAGACTCCAGAAAAAGAAAAAAAAGGACACCCCCTACTAAAATAGACTACAGAAAAAAAGGCCCATCGACCCACATCCTCGCCTGGGCCTCCAGAGCGGCGATGCGGTCCAGCAGCGCCTGCTCCAAGCCTCGCGCCCGCGGTGGAGGCGCGGCGACGCGCTTTCCCGTGATGGCGGAGGCGGAGACGTGGCACGTGAAGTTGGACTTTGGCTTTCTTTTTTGGTTTTGGCTTGTTTGCGCCACTCAAAAACCACAGGGTAAATCAAAGTAGCCCTGAGACAGGTGGTTTGGAAAATGGCTTGAGGGGGTTGGACGCCTGGTTTTGGTTGGACATGCCTTCAGAAGATAGGGTTCCGGAGGTTTCGGGAAGCCAAAGAGGTTGGGAAACAAGATGGGGTTCCTGAGGTCTTGTTGGGAAAAGGGGAACAATTGCCAAGTTTTGTGGTTTATGTTGGGCCGAGTGGTTGCAGGGTTCCTGATTTCGAAGGGGTTGGGCATTTTAGGAAACCCGAAGCTTGTTTTGGGGAGGCCTGTGTACCGGTTACCCCCAGACGGGTCCTATATCTGCAGTCAATGCCTTACCCTCGCACAAAACAGGCGGCTGGAACCTGAAAGACGAAGTCTCTTTTTCAGATTCCAGTGAGGGGAGGTGGTTTTGTCTCCAAATAGGGAAACCCCTCCCCCAAAAAGCATGAGTTTCCCTACCAGTTGAAACACTCCGCGAACTCCAAACATGACAAACCCAATCCCTCCATGCACTTCTGTCCCCCAGAAAAGAACAGCCGAGTGATATATTCCCTTTAAAACAAACAGCTTCGAAAACGAGAACTGGGTCTGTCTTTCTTTAGGACCCGCTCCCCTCCCCCCAGATTGGTGTTCCTTTTTTGGTCTTCCTTTTGGATGTCCCTGCAAAACCCCACCAAACAAAAGCACCCTCCAACAAATAGTCACAATCAAAACCCGGTATCAAAATGGTCTACCCAGAACCACGCTTCAAGAATCAAGAAGGCATAAAAGAAAAAAAAAAAAAAAAAAAAACGCAGACATTTCTCGCTGGGATTGCCCCTTACTAACCTTCAATCCCCGAATCGGTTTTGAGCACACGGCTCAAATGGCATGCCCCCCTCATCCAACAGCGAGTCTCGATCTCTCGTGCCTCGCGGACCGTCGGGGCTCTCGCCTGGCGGCTTTGAACCCAAACCCCACCCGGGGACCTTTGGTGCCAAGGCCTCATATGGCTACGAATTTCAACTAGGAACTGTTTGCTGGACATCATTTAGGTGGGGATTTGTGTTCACCAACCACTTTTCAGGGGGGTTACCCATTAGAACTCATAGCCACATCAACCAACCCACATGGAAAACCGGGTTGTCTGGTTTTGCGGGGGAAGCACCTCCTTGTTTCGTCAAGGGTCGACAGCATTCGCTAAAAAAACGAGGACTCCGGGGACTCCAGAAAGGAGTTGAAACCGCGGCAAGGAAAAGTGTCAGAACACCCGTAGTGTCCTGTCAACGACACGGTCACTCCCTTAAAACAATCAAAGGACTCCTAGTAAGTACGCTAAGTGATCAGTATATCTGGTTTGGGGTGTGGGGCCTCTTTGCTTGCGCATTAATATTCCTTTCAAACGAGCCTCGCAAAAGGGTTTACACGATCGCGAAGGAGAAAGAGGATTGGAATCTTTGAATTCTCAGTGTTGCTTCCTCTTCTCCTCAGACACCGCCCATGTTTCATGGGAGTTTGGCCCATTTTCTGAATTCGGGTCACAAAGTCTGGATACACAGCAGCCCATGACCCTCCCAGAGGAGAGGTTTGGAAGTTCTTGCTTTCAGGGTACCAGATTCCATGTAACAAGCGCGAAAAGGCCTCTTTTGGGAAGGAGACGGGTGGGTTGGCTTCCAAATGGGCGGACTCTTCTGGTGTCCCTTCGGTTTTCCTCGGTACCCTCCAAAAATCTCAGATCTGTTGCGGTTTGGCACATGTTGCAGCGAGCCGGCCAAATTCCACGGCCGTTTTCGGACGGAGCCTGTGAATCCAAGCTGAGCTTAAGCCGCTTACACCGCCTGCTGCCGTAACTTGGCTGGAATTAGGACCCCAGCAAAAAAAATAACTTTTTGCCCGGTAGTGGAAAACAAAGGGAACCCCAAAGCAAAAAAGTAAAACGGGGAACCAATTCTGGGGAAGGTAAAAGGCCCCTGGTGTTTGTGCAGACTCCTGTCCGACCAGAGGTTCCTTTGAAAGACCCGAGGCTCGTCAGATTTTATGGCAACCTGGGCTCTGTGCGCTTTTATGGAAGGGTATATACAGTTTCCGGCGCTTGCCATAGACCAAAGGAAACCATGGTAAACCCAGTGATTCCATTTCCCCGTAACCTCAAATAATCAAACTTTGAAAACCAAAAGCAAAATGGCTGATTGCCTACAAGGGTAACTGGGATCTATGGTATATAATCTCAACTTCGGAGTCTGGAGGACTGTGCTGGGCTCTCCTTCAAGAAGAAGATGCTCTCGTTTCTCTTGGGGGGCGGTCCTACAAGCAGGGTTGTGTCTCTTTTTGAGGGTACCCGATGCTTGGTGTTTGTTCGTGCCAGGAAACCAGGAGGCAAACCGGTTGTGCCATTTTGGGGGTGTCTAAACAAGACGCATCCAAGTGTCTGGATGAATCCGCAGTCGACATGTAGCAAGCGAAAGCGGTGGGTACGTCGATTTCCCGTGAAGCGCGAGCAAGCCTGGCGAGAAGCCGCGCATCTGGTCGCGCGGGGACTCCGGCATGGGGCCTTGGATGCGGTGAACGAGTCCGCAAATGGGTCCGTTCTTGGGTTTGCACTCTTTTGTGGGCTGTTTAAAGGAGATCAAAAGAAAACCAAAAGCACCACCACCTATTTGTGGGGTCTACTCAAAGACACGCCCAAATGAAGGGTCAAAAACATGAACGGTTCCTTTCTGGACCCCGTTCTGCTCCACACACACACACACACACACACACACCTGGCGCTTAGCAGCCGTGTCTTTTTTTAAGGGTACCCCCTTTTTGGTATGTGTTAAGGGCAACAAGAAGGAAAACCCGCCATTCAGGGGGCTCCAAATCCTTTTTTTTTAAAGGCACACGCCCTCTAAGCCTTCATCGTCCAGGAGTCCTCGCCACGTGAAGATCACAACTGTTGGGTGTGTCTGAAAAATCGGGGACCGGATGGGACCAGCGAAAAATTTTGAGAAGCCAGCTTGCAACGTGTTTTTTCCCAAATAGATGTTGCCATGTGGGATTGGCTTCCCTTGATTAAGCCATTAACAGCTAGGCAACTAATGATGAACTAGGGGCTCATTCCGATACTGCTTTGGGAGCCAACTGAGGTATGGAAAGGTCAAGGCCAGAACTAGTCATGGCCCCGCCAAACATTCGCCATGGGTTTGTCACCTTCTTGGCTGTGGCTTTTCTTGCATCAGCATCTGGGTTTGTCAACCTACAAAAAGGCTGGGGTTTCCTTCGATTTCTCTTAAACGCCCGCTCAAAACGGACGAGCCACGCATATGGGTGTGAACTTCAAAAGGGGACCCTTTGGTGGACCATTTAGGTGGGGACTTGTCCACCAACCGCTTTGGAGGTGGTAACTGGCAACTGTTAGAACAAATGGTCTTGCAAATTGTGTTGCTGACCATTCGGGTGTGTCACTTTTTAGGGAAACGGATCCCAACATGGAAGGATTCATCGGCTTTCCATGTTTTCCTCAAAAGCCACATTCTTCAGGGGTGCCCACAGCCCACTTCGGCTGGGCCCCCGCGCATCGCTCCAGCGAAGCGCTTTCCGCCCGCTCGGACCGCCGCTCGGAGACGCTGCCAGAGATGCCGCGCGTCGCGGCGCGAGGAGAGATGAGCTCTTGGGAGGAGCGGCCTGGCGCTGCTTTTCGCGGAACCCCCAGCCCCAGCGACGCCGTCTCACCTGAATCAGCTCCAATTGGTGGTTTGGTGGTTAAGAAGGAGTTCCCCATTTACCCTCAACAAAAGCCAGGGGGTCAAATCCCAATCCAAAACACCAACTAAGGGTTGGATATCTGACTGATGGTAGCTAAGGGAACCACTCTTACAAAAACGAAAAGGAGAAGGCACCCCAACCAAGGATGTCATTTGGTGTGTTTCTCAAAATGGGTGGGAATCGGACCGCAAACATATTGCTTCTGCTTGTTGTTGGTTTGTCCTACAAACCAACCAACAGGGCACCCACGAAAAACAAAACACACTCATGAAAGGGCCAAAGGACAAGGGGATGCTCGAGGTGTTGCATGCTGAGTTCCAGGAAACAAGGATCAATGGAGTGTACTCAATACAACTTACTTACCGGTGGGGGATTCAATAAGGGTTGCTGTTGAACCCTTTGCATTTTTTTTAACTTTTCGTGGGTTTAGTGGAAAACCCAAAAGTTGAAGTCTAAAGATCCAACCCAATAGCAGTCAAGCAATAAGGGCTGTAGTGTCTGTGTCTTGTCCCTGGCTCCGCTGCCCCAATATCCATGGCCACACCCACAGGCTGGCTACGAACCACCCTCTACTTTGTGTTGGGCCCCGCTCACGTTGTTTTTGGCATCGGGTATATTGACTAAGGCGAAACAAGACCGCAGGCCCTTTGGCAACCTTGACAAGTCATGAGACATAAGGGTGTTGCTTTTCAGGGTATCCTTTTTGGTTGGTACCTTAAACGGAAACCAACAGCAAACCAATCTTTTTTGGGGTCCCCGTACAAAAAGACACACACCATTACTTGAGGTGAGACATTCTCACAACCGATTGGTAGTGAAATGGCCTACGCAGAACCATGTAAAGAAGGCAGTCGTACCTATTTATGGTTGGGATTCTCCCTTACTAACTTTCATCTATCCAGGCTTTGATTGTAGCTCAGGTCTCCTCCCAAATACAGATCAGGGAACGTTCCTGGTTGCTGCACCCAATTTGGCCATGGGTCAAAAGCCCGTACCCCCAGTGAACATCCCAATCCCCACTAAAATTGACTAAAATGGGTGGTGCACCTATCCCAAAATGGTACCATTGGTTTTGACCCTCAGCCATATGGGTGTTTCTCAAAATAAGGGGTCAACCAGGTGGTGTCCCTTTGGTTTCTCTCTTTACCATCCAGAAAGGGGGACCCACATGCGCCTTCAGCTGCTTTGAACAGCTCCTCTCCCATTCGACCCATTCGACCCGATCGATCGCAGTTGGTTCAATCAGCTTGCCAACTGCTGGTTTGAAGCCCGACGCCCGAAACCCGGCGGTTTGCTGGAGTTTTTCCCCTTTGCCCTC